TTTGCATTATTTGTACGATTCCACATCCACAAGTCAAACCACATCCCTTTTTCCTTCAGGATTAGCTTCAGGTTTCAGCGTAACGACGCATTTCTCACTTTCAGCACGGAGATAGAAATCATTCCGGCTGCAGGATTTAAACACAAGACCGATCTCGCTTTTAATCTCCACAGCTCGGGCCTCAGGTAGTTTTGCTGTGTGCATATTGAAAAGATCAAATAGCAATATTAATGAGTAAATAAAAAGCACTGAGTGAATATCACACTGTAGACGGGCCTTCGGGGAATAGTCCTGTTCTGCACTGCTACACTCCTGAGTGACAGCTGCTGACAACTGTATGTATGTGTTTGTGTGTGGGCAGCGATTAGAAGTAAATAAAAGGAGAGAAAGGGTGGGGCAGCAGACTATGACATGTCCTAATGTGTAGCTGTGCTAAAGCTGGTAAAACTATGAGGCTATTTCTTTTATGAAACTGGAGTCAGCAAATGCGATTTCATTTTGCTGTAGGCTCAGATCTCCCTCCTGTCTGCAGAATCTACAGCAAGGGACGTTTTTTGGGACGTTGTAATGTTTGGATCATGTTCTGTAGGTTTATCAAACATGCAACTCCCAGAAATACAAAAAGCACAATGACAGTTTAAGCCGATTAAAGCCCGTCTGGGGGATTCAGACCTGACTCCGCTGATTAGCTACAATCACATTCTGTAAATGCACAGACACAACTGCTGTGATAGATTTCTAGATTATCAAACTGTTGGTACACGCTCAACGGATATATATTTTTTTTTGTGCTCTCTCTCAACATACATCCAATAAACACTTTGCCAGGAGCTGCCTCCCCCTCATCTTTATTCAGGTAACTTAATAACATGGATGTCAGCTCTGCAGCTCTGCACAGCTCTGCACTGAGAGAAGCCAACATGTCAGAGCTGATTACACTTGTGTTCAATAAGAAATGCAGCTGCTGAATAAAACAAAAGGCTTTACATTGCTGTCAGCAACATAAACAAACCTAATTAAACGCACTCTCCTCGGGGACACTTATTCTGCCTTGGGTCATAAAGTTCAATCTATTCTGTGCGACTGAGATAAATGCTGAGGTGAAAAGTATGCATACATAGGCCTAAATAAATGTTGTTTTTATTTTGTTCTATTATTTTGAAATGGTAAATGGACTTGAGCTTGTATAACACTTCTAGTCTTCTGACAACTCACACACTGATGGTAGAGGCTGCTGTGTAAAGTGACCATCAGAAGTAACTAATCCCATTCATAAACATTCATACACCACCAATGAAGCAGCGGGAGCAACTTGGGGTTAAGTGTCCTTGCCCTAGGACACATCGAACATGCTGCTTCAAGAGCTGGAGATCGAAACCCCGACCTTCCAATGGAGAAACGTTTTAAGTATTTCTTTAAGTTTATGATATGAATAAAAAAGTACATTAAAGGCATGAAAAGCCCAAAATAAATCTTCAAAAAAAAAAAAAAAGTTTTAGTTCTTATGATGCATTTCCACTTACCTCGAGGCGAGGGACTTTTAGGAGACACTGGTGCATGCAGGGTCTAAGAAAAGTTGCCTTTGACATGCTTTTGCTCAGCATAAGGCTCCTTCTCTGCGGTTGGCACAACCTAAAAGTACAGGGGCCTTGCAGCTGTGAACATTTCTAATTGGGGGGAGTACATGTGAGGGTTTTTCACAGCAGACTCGTTTCTATGACCTTCACAGGTCTTTAGACCTCGGTGGAAACGCTTAGGATGGGGGGTTAAGTTTATTTTTTAATACCTTGAAAAGAAGCTGAAGGAACCAAACGTTCAGGGTACTTTTAATGCAAACAAAGCCTTTGTTAGTCTTAGCAGGTTCTTATCATAAATCACTCTTTAAACAGCTTACAACCATCTCTTTCTAGTGTCACTCAATGTGCCTTATGTGTGCAAATCGTTGGTTCTAATGCTCAAATATTTTAGTATTTCTGGTGAATCACGGTCTAGAAAAGACAGATTCAATAAGCGCTCTTTTTGTGATGTTGTACTCGGGGGCAGCAGTAGCTCAGTCTGTAGGGACTCGGGTCAGGAACCAGAGGGTCACCAGCTCAAGTCCATGTGCGGACGAAGCCTGGGAACTGGTCTGGTAGACCAGTTACCAGTTTCTGCCAGTTCACTTCCTGAGCACTGCAGAGGAGTCCTTGAGGAAGGCACCAAACCCCACCAGCTCAGAGCACCCACTGTGGGCAGCCCCCCTCAGTCTGACATCTCAATTCAGGATCCTGTTTGTGCACATGTGTGTGTTTTTCAACCTTTGTGTTTGTAGCAAGTTCAACAGCAGGATTAATAAAGTACATCTTGTTCTTCTACTAATCATGGACATGCCCTCACTTTATTCTCTATACATGCCGTCAGAAATAATCACATCTCATTTTCTTTTGTTCCGTTCTCCTTTCTGATTCAAGAGGTGTGTGCATACAAATGCCTGACTACATGTCAAGTGTTCTTAACCGTAGATACATCTTATATAATGATGTGTTCCTGCAGGGCGAGCAGTTTAAAGTGCCGTCAGAGCACATCATCCATGTCATGCCTCTGGATCTGCCTGAACATAATCTACAAAGAGTCAGATCTGGATCATTCATTCAGAAGTAGTTAGACAGAATAACGAGTCAGATCGAGTAATAATAAACAAACACTTTATTTAAGACACACAGTTTTTTACAGTTCATGGATTCACTCCTGATGCTGAAATGAAATTTACATTAAAACCTTGATGCTGCGTTGCAAATCTGAATTACAAGAATGGTCATGTAACACTTAAATACTCAGTTAAACAAGAACTGAATACTGATGTACAGAAGTCTTCCAAATAATTCATATTTGTCAGCTTAAATAAATAATGTCAGTGTGCTTTATTTTTCTTGTCCTTTTCCTCGCAACGTTTCCTCCCAGGACAAAAACTTTAACTGAACCTGACAGCTTTCAACACTGAACGGTTAAGGCGTTGACATCAAACATCTAAAAATAAAAAATAAAAAACAGTGAAACCTTGTACAGTAAAAGAGAAACCCCAACCTGGGGGGGATTTCAAGTTCTCCTTTTTTTGTTTTTCTTCTTCTCAGCAGACGGTAAAAACGGTATCTACGCTTCACAGTTTTTACACAAAAGGCCTGAACTGGTGAGGGAAACAATGCAACACAATCCCACAGATGTATAAAAATCACAGCATGAAGGATGCTCCGCTACTTCTACTCCGACATGACATCTTGCCAGAGCTCATCTTGCACTGTTCGATTAAAACGTTTGGTTTATCTTTGCAGCAGAGCAGCCTGGAGAGATGCTGCACTCTGGTTAGCTCTCGGGTCTCACTTTTGCAAACAAACAGAATTAAAAAACAATTTACATTCAAGACTATTAAAAAAAAGAAAAAGAGGCTGCGATTGTGTCTTGATGAAGCACAGAGAGATGAGGTCAGTAATTCAGCTTCTTAAAGAGGACGAGAAAGCGTTACAATTCATGATGAGTGCATGCCTTTCTTTTTGAAAAACACTCAAATGTTTACATGACAAAAACAGTATTCCTGCATTACAACAGTATGCTACACTGTACGAGTAGGCGGCAAACAGAGGAGGACAGATAGTAGCATAAAATACAGATTTCCCTCTTGATTATTTTTCATTTCAATTCACAGAGGAGTGCAATGTTACTGTCGTACAAACTTGCAAATGTAGATCAACTGGTGTATATCCCAATTACAGGTACATTATCCTTGGTTGATAAGCAGATTAAAAACTGATTTGATAAATAATTTGAGCTGCAGCTACACTCCTGTTGTTTCAAAGTTTCAAGTTTATGTGATGTACCGTTTTCTAGTAAAATTTCATAAACCTGTAATATTCAAAAATATACATTTCTACATTCAAACGATGTTTATTTCTGTTCTACAGTTTTTGCCCTTTTTTTGCTTATAGCAATTATCAACCCTTTTCATCCAAGATAAAAGTCAAGTATTAAAAATAGCTTCTGTTCTGTTGGTTTTGGAAACCTCTTCCTTTTTCCTTTCGGAGAAATCCTAACCTTTTTTTTTGTGTGCGTGTGCGACTGTCAGCCTCCAGCACATGTGCAAACTGAGCTCTCTTTATCAACTGTGAAATGCAGCAGGGCGAGCCGGCATGTGTGGTTCCCTTTTTTTTTTTTTAAATTAGGCAAACTCACTTCCCTTTTCCACACAGTCCAGCACACATTAAGCGATTCAGACAACTCAATAAGCGATAGGGCTTATCGTCACATATGGACAACTTTGAAAAAGCACTGCAACATGTTGAGAAACACACACACACACACACACATATGTGTCGACACAATATTTTCCCTCACGATGAAATGTGACGATGCAGAGTGCATCAAGACGAGTCTAAACCTCTAAGAAGATGAGTCACAAATGCTACAAAACAAACACTAAAACTACGTCTTGATGTGCAGAGTTAGGTTTTTTATGGAAATGTTTTAAGTTAAACATGTTGCACTTTCAGGAGATATTCTTACGAGCTCTTTCCTCTCATTGTTAATCAGAAGTATTTTACATTTGTGTCAGTTTTGTTACATTTTGTCTCATCTTTAAAGGCAGGGTTGGTCATTTTCTCCAGATTCACTTTTTAAGATTTTGGTTGAAATTGTCTTTAGGTCCTGATAGAAATGAATAATGTTCTCTGAAAAAGGAACAAAGAAAATCTGTCATCTGTATCAGGTGTAAGCCTTAAAAACAGACGCCTCCCTGTCTCCCTGCTCGCTCTCTACCCCTTGCACGCATGAGCCCACACTCAAAGCGATGAGCTGAGGTCCGTTCCTGGACCAACAGCGCTCGTGCATGTAAGTGAGGGGGCGTGGCTTTTGAGGGGAGGGGGAGGGTGCAGAAGTAGCACTGAGGGAATGCTACTTTCAAAATGCTAGTTTTTTTAAATGACCAACCCTGCCTTTAACAGGTGTGTTAATTCTAATCAGCACTATACTGTACATGTTGAAACATCTACCCGTCTATGTACATCCCACATCGCTGTCGAGCATCTCTACCTTTAAAATACTCAAACAAATGTTCTACTTTGTGAGACACTACAGATAACTGTGCTATGTTTTCACTAGATTTAAGAGAACGATTACTGTCTATAACGCACCTACATGTGATGTCATAAATAATACAGCTCATACAGGATCTTAACTCCGGAGAGACATAAATACAGCAGAAGGCGTTTACTTTTTATCACTGGTTTTGTCTTTATAGGCGATTTAGAGAATATTCATGTTGTTCCCTTATTAATGCACATACATTGATTTCTGCTGCGTAGCACTTTGCTGTCAGTTTTGTGGTTCATTGAAGGAGACTGTTTGCTTGTTCTGACTATTTTTTGTTTGCAGGACCGAGTTTTAGAGAACGCCTACAGCTTAGACTTGTCGCCTTATCTACGTGTAGCCGAGTGTGCATTTAAACCTAAGGTCATATTTTCAACACGCGGTTTGCTGCGTCTGCGTTTACTGGATCATGGGGTCGTCGTTGGGAGAGCGCAGAGTTGGGACGCCGACGAACGGCTGGATTTTGTCCTCGTGCTGGCCCGAGGCTCTCTTGGACACGGTGGTGAAGGACAGGTGGTCGTGTTCCAGAATGGCGAGGCGGTCCTGCGGCTTCTCCTTCTTCAGGTAGAACATCTTGCGCAGCTGCTTGAGTTGCTGCAGCTCGCAGAAGGTTTCCAGCACCACCAGCATGACAATCAGACCCAGGATCAGGTAGACTGCAGACAAGAAAACACACAGTATGGGGTTACAAAAGGTCGGAGCGCTGAGCTGGAACAAAACAGATATCATGTGTATAGTTTACATAACAGTCTTCATATTTATTTGGTATTTTATGTAAGTTTCTTTCTCAGTGGTGGGTGCACTGATGTTTACTCTATATTTACTATTATGCAACAAAGAAAACAAAGACGTACTCCTTTTACATAGAAACCAACTTCTGATATCACTGAATAAAACCTTCTCAAAACACACAATAACCCATTCATTGAACTGAGCTCTCTTAATTTTAGTACATGAACGCAGCTTATACGAATTAATTTCTTATTGCATAACCATAAGATCTGACAGCAATGGCGACTGCTCATCGTTATCATTTAATGCGGTAAATATTTCATGATTCCTCTGAATAAATCTTATGAGAAACACGTGTGATACAGTTTTTCCCCTTTTCTACAAACACCTGTTGTATAAATGATCTGACACAAGGGGGCAGTGTTTCAAAAAAGAGAAACATAGCAGTGCTCTGATGAATCATGAGATGAGAGAGAAACAGTTCAGACATTAACGGAAACACCCCGCCCCCCCTCCCCTCCCCCCATCAGTTCATCAGTGCCAGCTGCAAACTCTATTACTGACTTTCATCCGTTATGTGCAAAGACTATCTGGGCCAAATCTGGCATGAAAACCCCTAAAAACCAAGAGTGCAACCGACAAAACCCATCCTACAAATGTTGTGAAACACTATTTTATAACGCTTAAAAGAGACTGGGGGTCAAACAGCCCAATCAGGGGCATCTGATTGTTATCTGACTGTTTGATGTGTAAACGTGTTGGTAGGTCTTCTGTCCACACACAGACTTAAAAACTGGATCTTATCTACAAGGCTATTTCTAGGACTAGTCCCTTCACACCTTAAAAACACACATCATCAGTCAGACGAGCACAGGCTCTTACAATCTGACGTCTCAGGACCTTTTCATACCGTCTGTTCAAAAGGTCAGAACTGAGCTGTGTTTGAGTTTGCTGCTCCCTTTTCTTGGAACAAAGCATAAAAATAATCTGAATCTTAATGAGCTGCTCTCATTGGATGCTTTTAAGGCCATTGTGAATGACTTGGAAAAATAAATCCTGAAAAAAACAATCATGTGTGTGTTATAATCTTGATTGATACTTGTTCAGCTGTGTTTTCTCCTTGTCATAACTTCTTACTGTACCTATAGTGGTATGCTAATTATTGGTGAGGCGACAGGTTTTGGAGGGTGGTAGGTTTTTGGTTAGGGGCTGTAGCTATGATGTAATCTGGTTTTATTCGCTCTTATTTTGTCATTATTAATCGTGTATTTTATATCATTTGTGTGGGAGGCAGGAACATCTTGAAGGTGTTCTGCATGGTGCATGTCTGATTGTTGTCGATTTTGACAAATATTTGCTGTTTTACTCTACTGCTGTTTTGTCGGTCTTGTCCAGGACACAAGATTCATGATCTCAGTAACATTTTTCCTGTTTAAATAAAAAGGTAAAAAATGATCCAAAATAAATTTGAAAACCCCCTCTAGCAGAATATAATCATCTTGTATTGGCTATATTCTTTAAAAGGTAGAACATACTGCACATAATAGTGCTAATCCCTGTTTGCAAATCACAAAAGCAGCAACTGCTTATCACCAAAACCACCAAACCACCGTGTAAACACTTCAGCAAACAGCACAAACTGTTCATTATTTTTGCATGAAGCAGTCCTGTTCCAACTATCCAAAAAGTCCTTTCAGGGAGCTCGAGATGTCACCTCCGATACAGGCGAGTTATACTTGACAGAGGAAGCTGTGCAAATGTGTCCGGTGTTATTTGTCTAAACAAACACACTCCTGTCACCGCCTCTCTCTCCTCCTACAGACTGACAAAAAGTGCCTACTGAATGACGTCTCCCCGGCCCGCACACAGGCTGCTGCAGCCTGCGGCGTTAATGCTCGCCCACAGCTTTGAAAACAGTAAGATTTTGGCGTCTTTTTGAACACATTTTAGTCACCGTTAGCCCTGACAGAAAGCTGCACAGCCACTCAGACTAAGCAAACAATGCTTTGCCCCTCTCCGTTAGACCATGGCTTAATTTATCCCCTGCAACCTCAGTACGCTGTTCTACCTGATAGATACCTAGCAGACCTTTAAAAACGTAGAAAAAAAGCAAATAAGCTGTCAAAATCCTGCTCCATCAGCAGCATGCACCAGTTTATAAATATCCATAGTGTGGAAAAAGCTACACACACACCAGCTACTGCAAGTGAACAACTTTTAAAGAGTTCAGCATTATGAGGAAGTCTGCAGTGCAAAGTTTTCAGTAGAAGTAATTTCCATGCCCCCAGTAATCTCCAATCTCTCATGTTAACTTTATCAGTTATAGTGTCGTGTGTGTGTGGCCTATCTTCAATCAACACTATGATTCATACAGTGTTTGTGGGAGCACTAAAGCTTTACATAGAGGAGGCTATATGCACATCACACCTGAAGAAAATTCCTAGCGTCTAAACTACTAACTCAATTAAAGCATTGTGTGGTAGTGAGTACATGTGAGGGCTGCAGTAAAACTACAAATCCCATCCTCTTATGTCCACAGAGTTGTTTTGTGTTAAATTCAATTTAAAGTGCAAAAACTGATTTGTGATTTTTAATGTGAGTAAAGATGGAATAAAGCCACTTCCTTTAATCACAAGCTAGACCTGACACAGTTCTATACCTGCACAATATTCTTAAAAAAATGTATTGGAGTCAAGTGCATCTAAATTCAACATTTGTGAAGCTTTTGTTTACTACATTGCACCAATAGTAGGGCTGCACGTTATGAGAAAAATATGCTATGTGCTCCAAAAATCGGTTTACACAATATATGGTTATGTGCTGGTTGCTAATACATGTATGGATGAAGATGTTACAGAATCGATATGGCTGCAAAGCTGTGATGACAGTTTTGTTAAGATATTTGACTCATGATGCAGTTCACAATAACACCATCACCATGGCTCTGGAATTGGGCAGCGTTACATAGTAGTATATTTTTATGCAAGTTTTCCCCCACAGGGTTCAAAAAGCATGCCAAGCTGATTATCTCACACACAGGGTGGATCAAAGTTCATAGTCATAAAACATATGCCATATGTGATGCTCTCACATCAGTTAATCATTACATAATAATTCAGAGAAACTGAAGCTATAAACTTAAAACAAACTGAGACTGTCACTGAAGTACGTGTTGCACATGGTGTCAACAGTGTTTGAATAAAAGCTTTATGAGTGTTTCCTTTTGGGCTGGATTGCTTAATAGCTCAGGTAATAATAGAAATGTTGTTCTTTCAGTGCAAACAAAGACGGCTTTCACTTCTCTGAAGTATGCACAGAACAGGATCTGTGAAGGTTTGTGAGAAATGTGCTCATGCATCTCTATGAGCATCACTGTAATGCTGTGAGAAAGTAGTCTATACTGTATAAATATATATATGATTGAAGCTATTTATAGTTCAGCTTCAAATAGAACTACACACACCCACATCAAGATTAAAATAGCAAGCAGAATTCAAATGAGACCTGACAGCTCGTCATGGAACAAGCTCCAAATATACAGAACTCACCAGTGATGGCCACCTTGTAGAGCTCCCTGAATCTTTGATTTACGGACTCCCCCGGTACGTAGTCTCCCAGGCCGATGGTGCTGAGGGAGATGAAGCAGAAGTAGAAGGACTCCAGGAAGTTCCAGTTATCCTCCAGCGCCGAGAAGATGGCGGCCGGGATGAGGAAGAAGCAGGAGACGGCCAGCATGGCGAGCAGAGAGGCGTGAACGATGGCCACCAGGGGCTTCGCTATGCCCCATTGCTGGTGGAAGTACATGACGGGCCTCCGCGTGCTGTACACCATGATCCTCTGCACCACGGCGGTGAGGAAGAGGAGGGTGAAAGGGATGCCGATCACAGAGTAGATGATGCAGAAGGCTTTCCCTCCGTCGGAAAGGGGAGCTGTGTGTCCATATCCTGCAGAAAAACAAAGAAACAGACCAATTTAAATCAACATGAAGACAGTATCAGTTAAATAAATCCATCGGTATGCAGATGATATTGTTCTGTTTTGTTCTAGTGACTCCGTAAGTATGCTGTTGAGAAGCTCTAATTTTCTTTTCATGCTTCAGAATATAGAATGCACAGATCAGTCTTGAGCAACTCAAAGCAAACCCACTTTTTTTAGAGTAAAGAATATTAATTTATCCAGCTTAAAACTATCTGAAAACCTTGTCACCAACAGCAAAATCTCTGGATCTGATCGGTGCTGTTGTGCAGAAAAAGATCTAGTATCCTGCAGAAGTGTAAGAAACGTAAAGTTGAAGAAGTCTTTCTACCCGGTCTACATTTTAGTGAAATAATCTACAGACATGCTCATAGCTTCTTCCAGTCTTAAATCCCTCTCTTTATCATAATTCACAAGTTAATTAAGGTCATTTTACACAAGTGACAAACAAGACACCAGAAGCACAGTGGTCCAACGATTCATTACAATGTTCCTTTTACAGCTCGGTCTTAACACCTTATTTTTGCCTTTTTGCTTCCAGGCTTTGCAGATAAGAATCTGCTACAAAAACATGTTCCTCTTCTGAAGCAAGACTCAAGCTTTCATAGTTATCCAACCACAAGAAATCAGCATTAATGAGGAACATCATAGCTACGAGTTGGTTAGTCTTCTTTGGCACAGAGGCATACAAATCACATCTTTGAATTGAATCCCTTGAGTCCCTTATTGGACGTTCATCCCCCGATATAACATCTCTGCTGGCCAGGACCAGAAACTGAATCTACTAACTGTCTCATGCTTTAACTCCTGCTGGTTAACCTTGAACTTTAGCTCCTATTTTTGACACCTGTCTTATCTCCAGTCTTTTTTTCTTATATTTTTAATTGTTTGTTATGATCACTTTTAATGTCTCTTTTTCCATTTGTGGTGATGCGTTCAATGTCTCATGTGAGGCACTTTGAATTGCGATGTTGCTGAAATGTACTATAAATAAAATTGCCTTGCCTTGAACTTGCAGAAGCCACCTTTTAGTGCGAAACACATAACTATTTACGACACAGTTTAAAGATAAACTTTGACACATGTATCTCGATGGACTCCGCCTCAATGTGAAGTTATGTTCAATGTATATAGAGGTTTATTTATTCTAATTCAGGATTGTTCTGTATACATCAGGCAGTCATGTTTGGTTTATGTTGTCAAAGCAAAGCTAAAGAAACTGTTGTGTTCCAGCATCGTGTTTGTTCTGTCATAGACTCTGGTGTTTTTATAGATTGTGTTTGTAATCATCAATTGTTGTATACTTTAAATCCATGCACAGCACTTTGTTTGAGAGCGCTTTCAAAACAAAATTATTTATTCATTAAAGCAAACGAGAGAAATCTTGATTATCTCAGGGTTTTTTTTAATGGAGGTTTGGAGAAGCAGAGTCGGTTTTTCTGGCACAACTTCACCAACTACCCCAGTGCACGGAGAGGCTAGAAGAGGTCAAAAAGCTCCAGCAGCACTTGTTACATGAAGATTGACTTTATTAGACCGACATGTTTCGGCTTGGGGGCCTTCATCAGGGTCAGGATCATCTGATGACCCTGATGAAGGCCCCATGTGTTGCTGAATCTTTTTGACCTCTTTATATGCAGCTTTGAAATGTGATGAAAAGCATTTGTCTCTATCTCTATCGTTTCCCAGTCTCATACGGCACTAGAGATGGGACCGATCTGATCCAATATTGGGTTTCCTGTCCGATATTGATGCAATTTACATATCAGATATCGGACTGATGGCGCAGATCCACGTTGGGAACTTTGGACATTCTCAGCTTGCACAGAGTCACTCTGAAGACACTCAGACTGAACTGCCAGAAGCATCCACAAATCGTCTCCATGACGACGTTCAGACGAGATTGACCAGCTACTACGTGTGTACCAAAATAAGGGATTGGTACCCGTTTTTTGGTACCCTTCTGTTGGGTACTGATCTGACCCCAAAGGGTCCCTTTTGTTTACTGTGTCCTGTTCTTCTTCTTTGTTGAACTTAATTAATAGCGGGCTACACTGTGTTGGGCTGCTATGATGTCACACTATTACATAGCTGACGCGGCTTTCTCCATCTGGCTTACAGTCTGCTAACCAAATAAGGGAACGGTCGGCTGTGGAAATGCAAGCAAGATCAGGGTTCACCGAAATGTACTGAACCATAACGTGTGAAGGTACAGGCAGGTATCAGACAGGATTGTCAAGAACAGCCTTGAATTTCTGTTCTGCTTTTCTGGAGGAAGCATAACTGTAAAAAGGTAACATTTCCTTGTGAGGTGACCCTAACAGAGAGAGTCAAAAATACCACCAGTGTGCAAATGAGGAACTGATGAAGGTTTGCTCGTGTTTTGAAAAAAAAAATCCCCAACAATCCCATTTCAGCTTCTCCTTCGGTACGATGCAAACCAACGAGACAATTTACGACTGCACGCTGGTTCCTGCCCTGCTTATCTTTCCAGTGTTATTGTATTAAAGTTAATGCCTTCATGGCGTCCGGTGTTTTATTTTGTAACTAGTCTGTGTGTCGTAAGCATGAAAAAAAATGTTTCAGTGTGTTAAATTCAATCAATCAGCCATGACTGTACAAGGTAACTTGAGCATAACATTCAAAATTTGAGGTTATTTAAATATTTTGTTTTAATTTTTCTTATTTTTGCTTGATGTCATATTTATTTATCTAATTTATTAACATATTTTCCTCTCTGATTGTTAAGAGTTTGTTTTAGTGATTTTTTAAATGACAGAGCACCTTTGTCCTGATGCATTGATGTCTCCTGTGAAACACTTTGAATTGCCTCGTTGCTGAAACGTGTTGTATCTCTCCTCGCCTTGCCTGATGGCGTGTTGTGAAACATCAGATAACTGCTAAACTCGGCCAGACTAAAGTTCCTAAGATATCTTCACTCACTGACGCAAAACCTGCAACCGTGATCCTTTGAGCAACGCTAGATAACAGACACCATGCAGAGTCACACTTTCCACAAGACAAAATAAATTAAAACAATTTGTTTAAACGGGTTTCGTCTCATTTAGAATATGTCACTACCTGCAGGGAGGGAGAGAGAGAGATGTTGATGTCTGCTTATCCATGGAATAAAAAAAACACAATGTCTATTTTTCTGTTCCTTTGAGGTCGAGGACGTGCTGACGGCTGCAGGGCATTGTTTACCTCCCAAACATTCACTGCCTTGAGTATTTTCCACCCTTGAAATGTTCCATATGTTCTCATGTCACGGCAGGATTTTTATTGGGATTACTCGTACTTAACCAACAAAAACTAAATTCATGTCAGGTCATTTATACCTGCAAATCAAAATATGAAAGCTTAGAGTGCTCTGCTGTGAAACCTGTGAATATAAGTAAAAAAAAAAAATCCTTTAGGTTAATGTAGGCTACCTTTTGAAAAATACAGACAAGTAGATATTTGGACTCTTGTTTTTCTAATGTGTAAAAAAAAAAATAATAAAATAAAAAAACTAAAAAAAAACTACATAGCCTAATAAATGCAGGGGAGTATGTTCTCTTACAGCTTTAGCTTCTGCAAACAATAAGAATGAAAATTAAAGACTATGCAACATAAATTAGCTTCATGGCCTTGTGAAAATCTTGGTATAGGGTGTCAAATTAATGCAGAAAGGGAAGGTGAATAAATACTATTTTGTGCCCCAAAAAAATGTAGTTTCCAACAACTGCCTTGTAGCTGGTAGGCTAATTTTTTTTGTAATTTTCCATTTTGTTTAAACTGGTTTAACCCTTTAACAGCAGGCTTGTTTGGCCTGGTGGTAGCTCAGGTACTCAGGTAAGAACATGCTGTTTTGATAAAACGGTGACATATTTTATGCCAAAACTGAAAACAGGGGCTCCGATTCTCACAAATGCAGGTTTGAAATAAAGGTATACATTGTGTGCACCTGATCTGCTGCAGCATCAGACACTCTCACACCCGGAGGTGACCCCGGCTGACTCTTACCTGTGGTGGACAGCACGGTGCTCGCGAAAAACAACGCCGAGGTGAAGTCCCAGTTCCAGTTAGCGGAGGCGTTATTGAGAATCGACACCCCGTAATTACTGGCCTCCAGGGCTTTCTTGAGAAACCTCTCCAGACGCTCCTCGGACAGACACTCATTATCCTGCAGGAACTGTTTCTTTATGGCCCTCAGCTCCTGGCGAAGCTGGTCCTCATAAGGCAGCTCGACCGACGAGAAGACGACCGCGCCGAATATGAGATAAAGGATGTACCCCAAGACAAGAGATGCAAAATACCACGTCGATTTGTGACTCTGTATCAACCGCACACACGAATTGCTGGCTAGAGACTGAAGCATTCTCACTCGGGGTTTGCGTTTCCTTTTTTTTTTTTAAATATAAATATAATAATAAACTAAGGCTGTTAATTAACCCGCGAACCCGTGCTGTATTTCCGAAATGTATCCGTCCGTGAGAGATGTTGTTATAAGGACGACGCTGCTTCCCCTCTTCACGAAAGGCTGCTGTGGCACTTGCGGCGTTCAAATGAACTCGGAATTTGTACCATCGTACAACAAGAAGAGCATTATTTTGAGTACAAAGGCTGAGATTGCCAGATATTTGAGCAGTGGTCGTGTTGGAGTTGTTTAGCGGACATGTATAGATGTGAGAAAGTTAAAAATAAATAAATATTTTAATTTATGTATTTATTATTCTCGTTTGCTGCCATGCTGCCAAGGCTACACAAAACTATTTGGGGTTTTATTTATTTGAATAATAAAGACCACACGACGTACTTACGACTAAATGTACTAAATTGTAGTAGGCTATGTTAGTTAAAACATCAACTTAAAGGCTACTATTATTCTATTTTTTATCTAAGAGATGTAAATATGTTTGATTTTTTAACTTCTATTATTGTTTTTAATAATTATATTCCTCTTTCCTGTTTTTCTTGAGCTGCTGTAATGCAAAAATTTCCCCCATGGGGGATCAATAAAGTTTATCGTCTTTATCTTTAGCTTTACTGAAACTGGAGGATTCGTATTTCCGAGCTTTGAATGATACATGAAGGCATCGCGTGATGTGGAGGCGACAAAGACAAGTGTGACGTAAGAACTTCCCCCTTCTCTCCTCCCCAGGTGTAGACGCGGGTAGACGTAGCTACGCCTTCAGTTTCTATTTAAAACAATCGAAAACAGTCTGCGTGCTATTGTCTCCGAGTGAACGCCTGTCACTGTGTGGCTAATGAGATGGTTATATTTAGAAGAGGAGACGCAGAAACGCGCAGGTTGAGTCCAGAGACATTTGGGGCGTGCAGAGTTAAAGGTTTGTTAGTGGCCTTATGAGGAACCGGCCAATCAAGCTGCAGGTGAAAATAACAAATAATTAGGCTAAAAACAACAGGCTCAACTTTTAAAATTAAGTGGGAATTATCAGTGTGATTGTGTCCCCATAAATAATCATTATAAAAGGCCTTCTAATATTGATAAATCAAAGAAGCTGAAATGCAAAAGAATCAAAATGAAGTCAGTAAATGTTTATTAAATGTAGTTTTGGTAGAGAAATGTGAAAGTTGGAGAAGTGTACAGATTCTGTGGTAGGCTATATGTTCATAACTCTATACACAAACTTCCCTCAGAGGATAATTTGGTCCCTTTAACAGTTTGAAGATAAAAAGCTACACGAGAAGTTATGAGGGGGGAACAGTGAAATAATAACTCTCCTGGTAGCTTTTTAGCTCCAAACAAAAACAGTGCTACAGGGACCCATTTTTACTTTGAATAAAATTTAATTATTTAGTTCAGAAAATAAAGTAGCCTTTATAATTGTTTCACTTCTCCAACTTTCAAATTCCACTATACCAAATCTACATAGTGCTCCTTTAATACTGATGTTTGTCAACAGGGTGAATACCACATCAATAATTAACAGTTATAGGCAGGTTTTAAGTGTATTATTTTCCACATCATGCTAACATTAGGCTACTTGCTTACACCAACACACTGCATTAATGGATTTATTTACATACAGTAGATGGTAAACTGTCAGTAGTAGCTACAGTTGGACTCAAACTCTTTAAGATACAGTTATCATGGCATACCTAGTACTGATAACAGTGTTTTCCTGTTACCCTGAGGAACGTTAAGTCATATATCCACTGTAGTCATCCTCTCTGTAGACCTTTATTCATAGGGAGATGTAAATATATGTTTGAATATATTTTAACTTATTAAAACCATAGGAGATATGACTTTGACTTGCTGTGGCTCTCAAAGACTAGAGACTCGACTTGGACTCCTTACTTCGTCTTATTGTAAAATACACAGTATCATATATATAGTGTGATATTCAGAGGCTGATGTAAGTATCCGCACCCCTTGAACTTCTCAATATGTTGTTGTGTCACAACTGAAAATTTAAATGAATTTTATTTGAGTTGAATGTAAAGGACAAATAGAAAAACTCCTTCATCTTAACAGTTTGTCATAATGATGAACTGATTATAAATTAGAAAACCTTCAGTGCTAAGAAACTCTTAAGTAAAGTCAGGTGTAACCAAATAACAAGGCCGCAAATAGGGGAAGCTTTCTGGGGCGCACATGAAGGGTCTCAATGAGGTTAGCAAACACATGGTCCGACATAAATTTGAGAAATAAGCATTTTTTTCTTCAAACCTAAAAACTCAGCTTTCCGAAAGCATCAATCAAAATACACATTTTAGCTTATTGTGGCTTGTTTTTAAATGTGCAGGAGTACAGACTGCTATTAAAGCAGATTCACTGGGGGCAATGTCAATCATTTTCGCTCACAGTGACACACAGAAGATACCTGGGAAGGCTGATCGACAAGTTGATCATGTAGGCTATGTGTACTGTGTCACAGAGCCCGGCACAGGCTTAAGACCAAAGCTGTGAAAATGTGGGATGAGTATTGAACTGAACTGGGAGGCCAGTGCAGAGGGGACTGTGTGTAGCTCTGCCAGGACCTGCAACAAACTATTTTTCAGTCAGCTCCAAAAGCCAATCAGAGCCCGGCTGAAGAGGCAAGGTTAGCCCTGACGGCTAGAACTAATGCTACTGAGTGCACAAGTTGATATTATTAAATCACATCGTGGGAGGGCCGTTTTATTGCATTTCAAGGTGTGCAGCCATTTTTGTAGGCAGGCCTGCAAAATGCCTCCAGTGCATCTAAAAGATGCTAATCAAATAAACCCCTCCCCCAAAAAAGAGTTGATTTAAATTCCAGATCATGACACTGTAAGTGGGACTCATTTGTTTACAAGGCAGCGTACATTAAAAGTCCATAAGGTGACCAGCTCCAAGATGAGTCACAAATAAGTAAATGAACGTAACAATGGATTAAAACCGAACAAAGAAAGAGAAAAGAAGATGAATATAACGAGGGATTGTGAAATGTAAATAAACAGAGGGAAAAAAATGACGTTAAGTGAGTTACAAGAAAAATGAAACATGAGGCACAAAGACGCCATCGAGGCAGAAATGAATTTAAAACATGAACGCAATAACAGATCGTAATAATGGACGCCTCATAAGGAGTGGTGGTGACATCAGCGAGAGTATAGGAATGTGAGGCATGTGTCCTCTAACAGGTTCACAATGTAAAACTTGTCCTCCTGCTTTTGGGTATGGCTGAATTACCAAGTGGAAAAATGTCCCATTGAAGACCACCAGGGGGCCTCGTGACTCCCTTTAGTGCATGTTCTCCAAAACTGAAGTTTGGGAATAAAGGAAGAATCATTACGAAAACATAATAATGACTGACATGTTTTATAATCTCTTCTGAAAGCTCTTTTTTTAGAGATTTGCCCTTTTATGTGTCTCATCAGATAACTTTAAAACAAAACTGGGGCAAGTTTCACACAGATGTTTGAGCTGTCTTAAGTGTTAGGGCAGGTGTTTAATGCATGTTCGACTGTTTCCCCAATAAGTTTTTTTCTTATTTCTTAGTTTTGGCCATTTTGCCTTTATTTGATAGGACAGTGGATAGAATAGAAAACAGTGCAGAGAGCGTGTGTCTTATCTCCTCAGGCAGGTCGTTCAAAAGTCGAGGAGCCCTGATGGCAAAAGCACGATCACCTTAAGTTTTGAGCCCTGACTTTTGAACGACCAGGAGCTGGCTAAGGTCCTGTGGGCTGGCTTTATAAGGGGTCAATAGTTCTGTTATGTTGCTTGGAGCCAGACCCATACATGCTTTAAAAGTGATGAGTTAAATAAAAAAATTCAGTTCTAAAACTAACAGGAAGCCAATGAAGGGAAGATTCAATTGGAGTGATGTAATGCCCTTTGTTAAAACCAGTAGGAAGCAGAGCTGCTATAGTTGGAGGCTAGAGAGTGATTTGTGAATGATGAAAGGAGAGAGAGTTGCAGTGTATAAAGTGTGGAGAAGATGATTACTTTATCGAGGTCCAGTTGAGAAAGTCAAATTTAAGACTTGACTCACCCAGAATCCATTGCTTACTATTACTACGAAAGCCGATAAAGAACTCGCTCTCTGTAAAGCAGGAATTCACCAGAAGTTAGACTTTCAGTTGGATTCAAGTTTTTAAAGTCCGTCCTTGTGAGTCAGGCCCCTGAGGTCAGAAACAGAGGGTCTCCTAGGGGGCCCAGCAGGTCATTTATGCTCAAAAGAATCTATATTAGGTTGATGTTTCAACAGATGGCGGGTTGCATTCACTTGTCAGAAAACCTCATTCGTCACAGTGAAGACAGGCGCTGCTTTACATGACCCCGGGGCCCCTTATGTCATGTCCCATCTGACCCCGGTATTGTAGCATTACTGTACTTTTTTTTGACTTTGAAGAGCCTTTCGATTAATATCCCTCTATTTCTCCCTCTGACACGAGCTGTGGTTGTCATCACTGAAATCATCCGCAGCCGTCACTGTGGCAGATTCACTCAGCACTTTATAAGAAGTGATGTAGGCTATGTTAGTTAAAACATCAACTTATATCATACGAGACAAGATCGTGTGATAAGTGATTCACTCTGACTGTTCTCCCCCCCCGAGGATATAAACAGAACTGATGTGATTTTTCATGGAAGAGTCTGATAAAAGAGTCGACTCATGTCAGTAACCACGGGGCGCTGACCCCTGACTGGGTTCTGATTTGTGTTCCTGGCTTTTCGTTTGTTTGTTAAAGTCATAGATTATATATGAAATACATGCACACAGGTACATTTCCAAACATTTCTGAAAAAAAGCAGAAATAAATGACATACAGCTGTACAGAGCCGACCTGTGGCTCCTTTCCTGCATGTCATTCCCCACTCTCTCTCTCTCTCTCTCTGTCACTGATTTCTGACTCTGTCCACCATCCTGTTTCAAAAAAAAAAAACAAAGACATAAAAAGCCAAAAAAATAAATCTTAAAAAAAAGGAACCCTTCCATATTTTATTTCAGAATCTGAATCCAGTTTATTTGCAAACATACAAGAAATCTGTGTTGGTGTTTTAGTTACATACATTACATAAAGACACTATGAAATATAAAGAACAATGTAAAAAAAAAAAATGTACAAAAGGTGCAATGTGAATGTGCAAGTATATAAAAATGTGGCGCTATTTGTGTCAGAGATCCATATCAGTTTGTTGTCGGAAATTGTGACATAATACTAATACTGCTGTACAATTTCATCTGTGTTATTCATAGTTACAGGGGAGAGAGATGAATGTCTTTTAAAATCAATATTAGGCTATATATTGTGTATAAACTGTGAACTTTTAGTGTGATTTTCTACAAAACACTGTGCTCTCTCTTTTATCAATTGAATTGTTTAGTCTTTAAATTGGACCTTGAGTATGTAATGAAGTTGAAGTCTGTAATGAAACGGGGCAAGCGGTGGGCTGACCTGAAACCTGCCATACTCCCTAAGCAGACCACTATCAAGGATGCAAGAAGCGTGATGTGTTGGCACTTCTGACAGAAATGGGTGTGTCTGATGAGGTGCGGGCGTTTTATAATGATGCATTGTCTGAGGTTAATGACAATGCATGCCAGAGTGATGTAGAGCCAGAGTAAATCTCTCAGAGTTTGAGGGTGGTGTGGTGAATTAAATTTAAAAAAACTTGTTGTGGCAGGTAGTGTTTACAATGGTCTTGACTTGTCATGTTCCTCAGGACTTCCTATGTTCATCTTCAGTTCAGTTGCTGATGTAAAAAGCAAACATTAGTGGCCCACTCACTCTGAATGACTTTATTGTATGTATTGTAAACAGTGTTTCTTTTAAATGGTTACCTTTTGCCATACTTTTAATGGTTGCTGTGACAGAGTGACCCGTCACTACGGTTGAGTATGCGCTCTGATTGCCATACCAAAGAACCTGGCTCTTTGGCATTGTGGTCAAGTGGCACGTCTAGTGCTCTGGAGACCTGGGTGGGGTGACCACTCTTGCCCTTCGCTACAAACGTTTGTAGCGAAGGGCAAGAGTGGCCTCGAACCCAGGTCTCCAGAGCACTAGACGTGCCACTTGACCACAATGCCAAGCTTGTTGGCATGGCAGTCGGAGCGCATACTCAACCGTAGTGACGGGTCACTCTGTCACAGATGCCCTTTGAATGGTCCTGATTATTAGGATCATGTTGTTTTATGTGGCGGACAATGTTGTCCTACTATTAGAAGTTTCAACACTTTACTGAATGACTATTGAATGTATTTTTTTATCATTGTTGTTATTTTATTTGATTGGTTGTTTTTTGCCATGCTTTAAAGGTCCTTATTTTAAGATTGAACACTATCGGCCAATTTTATGTATGTTATTGTTTATTAAGTTATTTGTTTTATGTGGTGGACAATGGGAACTCCAATCAGTGTTCTTTTTAAAAACATGAGATTGAAACATAAATGAATGTATTTTAAGTTATTATTTATTTGATTTAGCATTTATTTATTTTATTATTGGTTGTATTTTGTTTCAAATATGAGCTTTTGATATTGCAGGTCCACTGCATGTTCTTTTGTTTTTAAAAAGAAAAGAGGAAAAATTGTAATGCCTGGATTTATAGCGTTTTGGAAACAAATATAATAAACTTTGGTTTTACAATCAACAACATTGTTGTAAGATTTGACAATTATTGTTGAACATGTTTAGACTGAGCCAATAAACTGTTTTAAGAGGATAAACCAAGCCTGCTCCCAGTAGATCACAAACACACACACACACACACACACACACACACACACACACACACACACACACACACACACACACACACACACACACACACACACACACACAACTGGACAATTCACTCTGACTCTGTGCAATAATAATGTTATATTAATGTTATATTATGTTTATCAAACCACTGTGCAATAACATGTTACACTTTATGTGCATGTCTGTGTTACACTGAATATTACAGACTACACTTTTGTCAATCGCTGATCTATTTTTTAATATCTATTTTTTAAATCTATTTTTTAATCTATTTTTTGTACATTCGTAATTTTTCTTTTTTTATTTAAATTGTACTATGTTCTTTTTGTCTGCAATCTTTGCTCTTTGCTGCTGTAACACTATAAATTTCCCAATAGTGGGATAAATAAAGGATTATCTTATTTTATCTTAAAATAAATCTTTGTAAAATGTGTTGGTCTGGGTAGATAAATGTCATTTTTCTTAAAACAATTAAAATGGATTTATAGCGTTTTGGAAAAGAGCTCTTCATATGTATTCATCTTTTATTTATTTTTTACGTTTATAAACCAAACAAAGTGTAAAATATTATTATATTATTATTATTATTATTATTATTATTATAAGACAAATCGTTGTCAAACTTTGCTACAAAATAATGAAGTTGTATTTAATAAAGAGCCATGAGGAAGTTAAAGTTAAAACACCAGGTTCACCAAAAAATAAGATCCTGATCCCAACATCACTGCAAAAACAAGCGCTGCATAGTTCCGACCGTAAATGACCTATCCGGGCTGCCGTAGTCATGCAAGATTGTGGCACTCCTCCTCAATGAACGTTGGAAAGATGGCGACGGCATACGCACAAGCGAGAGTCAACAGTGCCGGCGGGTAGAAAGTGCTCCAAAGAGACACAAATCCGGGTTTTTTTTGCAAACATTTGACGGTGCAAAGTGCGACTGAAGGCCTCCAGACATGATTTAGTCCATGCACGGATAGGAACGAGACCCCGCCGCTTCGCTATGGAGCCTCCGGATCGCAACAAGCCCAGCAGGTATTGCGAATTTGTTGAGCAGACACTACACCATCAGGACCTCGGCACTTGCCAAATAGGGAGCTGAACGCGACACCGCAGTCGAGTCTGAGAAACCGACTTCCTGCCAAATAGTGAGACGCGTGCAGTTTCTGCAATTTGCAAACACTTTTAGAGTTGCAAACTTTTTTAGAGCAACACTTTCAGACGATTTTAACTGATGCTCTTCTCTTATCAGAGCCTCGTTTGCTAGAGAGAGAGAGAGAGAAAGCGAAATGCTCTCCTGATGAGGAGGTAACATGAGGGTGTTGTTTTTTTTTTTTGTTTTTTTTGTAGTTGTAGTGCAACATGTCAGAGAACAAGCTAGCTAACATGCTAGCTGTGGATTGTCACTTTTATTGTTCACATGCAAGTTTCTCTGAACACAAACAAACCGAGATGACTCTGGAGTCGTTTTGCAGTTTGGACCTCGGACGTTAAACTCGACGTTGTGTTGTTGATGTTGTTGTTGTTGTTTATTTCACGTTGCCAGAGCATGCATTTCATCATCATAACTTCGCTGTGCATTAGCTAGCATGTCGCTCCACTGTTGTTGTTTAATCCTCCGGCTGGTGTCGGCGCTCCTGTTGTTGTTGTTGTTGTTGTTGTTGTTGTTGTTTTCTCTCTCTTGTGCATCTATTTATTCTGATTTTGATGCATTCTGCAGGATGATTTCATCTCAGTTACATGAAGAGGTCTGGAGCTCTTTTAGACAATCTGTTGCAAATGTTTGCAGCAACAAATGTTCAGTCAGCTGTTATTTGTGTTTCTGTGGTCAAATCTGTCACGATTATTTTAAATGTTTACGGCAGCTAAATTATTATTATTATTATTATTATTGGTTTTATTGACACTTTAAGAACATTCAGCAGAATATTTCTACAAAAGCTTCTAATAAGAGAATGAAAAAAAGCTTTAAGTTAGACTGAGTGGATTTTTTAAATTAATCAATTAATCTTTATTTGTTTAGCGCCAATTCATATCAGATGTTATCTGAAGACACTTCACAAAAGATCAGGTAAAAGATCTGTTTTCACATGTTACAAAGACCTAACATGAATCCATCGTGAGAGCAGCAAGGGAACACGATTAAGAAATGAAAGCTCACAAATCAGGATTATCAAATCAGACAACAGATATTGACAAAAAGATCAAATGGACGAAACAACAAACATGTTGACAAGTCAGCGTTAATCTTTCGAGCAAACTTGCTGGAGTTTATCTTAAATATAAATAACACCCGTATCAAATGTCTAAGAGTTGCACTTCCAGATTCCTATGTAGAAAGACATTTTTAAAAAAGCTTCACCTTGAAGAGCACAAACAAACAAACAAACAAACAAACAAACAAACAAACAGGCATCCACAGCTACTAATGACTTATATTGACGTAAGAGAAGAGAGATAATGTGTTTATAAAACGTATGCACACAGATGATGATGTTGCACAGTGGGAAAATATATATATATATTTATAGCGCAGACAGAAAAGTGATATTGCAAATGTGTTCTGCAGTAGAACAAATACGACTTGTAAAGGTAAAAGAGAGAAAAATAGATGCATAGCATGAATTAAGTCTAACTAGTACAGGTAGAAAATATATATTGCACAGTAAGAAACATATTTCAGATTGAATAAAACTAATCTCTGCATCAAGTAGTTTGTGAGCTTTATGTTTTTGGGGAACGGTATCTCTTAGTTTTCCAGGCGTGCAATGTGAACTCTGTCTCAAGGCAACGAGAACAAACACTGTCCTGTCATTGAACTGAGATAAAACCCAATTTCTATTTCTTGGAGTCACTTTTACTGACAGACTTTGTCCTTTAAGAGTCAAGTTGCACAAGTTTCTACTTTCACTATGTCGTTTTCAGTCTGCCCTTTTTATTTAACATGAATGAGGTTAAACAATATTTGATCTATAAATAGTTGCAGACATGTGAACTGCTGGACTCATTACTCTCACTACTACTTAGAAAGGATACTGTTAAGTACTTTTCATGGTGGACTTTTTGAGTAATCTGATGTCAGAGTTCTCGACATGAGAACACAAATAAGCCTTTTTACTTTTGTTTATTGTTGAAATGATTCATCATGCTGTTTGCTCACATTGCACAGTAAAGGAGCGTTCTTCTTGAGGTATGCATACTTTTAAAGACACTCGTAAAGTATTTGTCCTCGTTTGTACACATCTCCTAATCAGAATTCTTTAATGTTTGCCCCTGACTGCTGACACACACACACCCCTCAGGAATCTGCTGTTATGTCTTCCACCTCTCCTCCCTTTTTCTCGTCCTCGCATGCAGTCTGCAGAGCGAGTGACTCTGAAGGGCATTTATCACGCCTGGATCAGCTTTGTCATCGGCGATAATCCGGGTTTTGAGCAAATAGCTTGTTTCTTTGTCTGTAATGATTGAGTGCCAGCCAGTTGTTATTCCCCTGCACCCTTGAGGCCGCTTGGTCCAGGGTGGACACACAAACAGCTCGGGTGATTGTGCAATACGAGGGCCTGTTACTGTAATCGCTGTCCTGTATTGTTGCACAAAGAAACATACTGAGACATTAACCTTGCTATTCCTGGAAGCAAGTCAGTGTCAGACTTTCATCGCAATAGATACAGGGTTTGTTTTTCAGTTTCATTTTGATGTTCAGTTCAGTGTGCATGCATGTTTCTGGCTGCAAGGTAAGCATGCTCCAGAGAGCTCCATATATATGTCTGTGCAGTGTTTTCATTGTATGCATGTATTCATATTAAGTCTGAGTTTGGATGTTTGGAATATGACAATAATTGAGGATTCATGCCTGAAGCTGCGAAATGTTTAGTCATGTTATGTCATTCATTTTGTGATTGTTACTTACATACACCGCCAACATGTCTGCAAGTTTTCAGGAGCATTGTGCATGTGTGAAAGCATCACTATAGACTCATGTGAAGCAACAAACAGATCCTTTTATTCACCGTGACAAATGTACATGCTTAAACACTTATCGCGAGCTGAGTTCAAACTGAACACCGCCCAGAGAAAGATGAGTTATGCGATTGCTCTGTAATTGAGGGCCGTTGCAAGTAACAGAGGTCCTTTGTCAATAATGCGTCGTCCTCTAATTCAGTCTGAAGACATTGTGTCTCGAAAAGCATTCCAGAGATTTCAGGATGTGGTGTAGTAGTGTGCACGGCAGATAGCAGCTTGGAGCCCCAGAGACGCTCCCGGGTAGAGCTCATTAATGCCTGCATTTGTCAGGAGCACAGGCTGTGGAATACAGATGGACCATCCGGTACCATTTCCTAATCTGCATCCTGTCTCTGCCCACACCTGCTTTTAGAGAAGGCAGTGCTGCTTGCACATTCTGCCACTCTCATCTGTCGTTTCCCTTCTTAAACAATGGGATCTTTGTCACGGTTAAACTTTTAGCAATTGATGTTGCTAACACGCTGCAGGAGGAAGATTGTGTAATGTAATAATTTATGGAGAAGGGAAACGATTAGTTGTTTGTTTCTGCAGAATATGTCACTGCTATGCACAACTCAAGTTGAATCTGCCAACTTTTTTTTGCTTGTGATCACAATTCCAGATTACATTGCAGAGGTGGAGCACACTGCTGCCTGCACTGTGTTTATAATGCACGATGCATACAGTGGAAAACATGTAATTACACCATTTACCTCATGCTGCAGCCAGCAGTCTGCAAGCGGTGTTTACAATTAGGTGCATTCAGATCATGTTGTTCGTTGTGGTTTATGAGCTTCCACTTGTACCTTAAGGTCTGTTTTTTCTCCTACTGAGGTTATTCGGGTGATGTATGAAGGCAAACAAAAAAGAAGCTGAGCTGTCTTCTAGACTTACTGATTGCTTATAGGATCATGCAGTGCAGAAACAAACCTCTCTCCTGTGCAGTGTAAAGTGAAGTGCATTGCACAGTTAAATGTAGGAGAGGTTAGGAGGTCCGCTCCTGGAAATGTCACACTGTTCCAGAGAAGGGTGGGGTCAAGTATGTTGTGTTCATTGTTCCTGAATTCTCTCAGGCTGCGGAGCAAATTGTGATCGCTGCATCAGCTCTGCCTGTTCATAAGGGACACACAGCACGTCATAGATGCATACTTTTCATGCATCAGCTGCACAAACACTCACATCTGTGTAGCTGTGCACACATAGGATTTTTTATATTCTTATGCCTCGCAGGTTAGCCCTGGGCCAAAATTAGAAACCAGCAGAACACATCCTATTTTACAGTGGGTGGTAATCAAAAAATCTGGATTTAGCCTACCGAGCATTAGTTATGCCAGCATGACCCAATTGTGGGGGGAGAGTGTGCTCTTGCAAAACCTTTCTCCTCCTTTTTCCTCCCTCTGGAAAAAAAAATCCCCTTTTTCGTTCGGGCATTGTGAGCAAGTGTGCTCACCAACCAGCTGTGTGCTATTCAGCTGTGGGCCTCACGGGCCACGTGTCACCACTATACAATGGCGTGCCCCCCTTTCCTGGTACAATGGTGTGGATGGGTGGGGTCAAAGGTCAGCCCCCCCCCCCCGACTCTAGCAGCCCTTGGTATCACTGCTTCAGTCACTATACAGAAAAGACGCTCGATTTTTTGGTGCTGTTTATTATGCACTCGGTGTCTCTGCCTAGGGGCTTTAACATTCCACCGGCCCTTTATTGGAGGCCCAATGAGCCATCAGATGAGCCATTGAGACCAGCCAGACACCATCTGCAGTGATAATTCACCAGTGTCAGCCAGGCAGGGACAGCTTGAGGAGTGGACCACGCTGCAGCGATGGTTAACTGCAGGGCATGCAGGCAAGTTTCTTTTTTTTTTTTCAGCCTGCTGCACGTAGGTTTTGGGAAAAAAAAAAAGGCAAAGAATTCAGAAGAGGAATGTGGACAGAGTATTTTTCGCTGCAGCACAATCTGTGCTTGAAGCGTGTCATGGCAACCAAACAAACAAACTGGCAGTGATGGCGTCATTGGTTCCGCCGTCATTCCTGAGCGATTAAGTCACGCGTTCTGCCTCGTAGAGATGTTGTGTTTTTTTTTTTTTAAACTTCACATGCATGTACTATTTCTGTCCTCAGACACCTCACACCCCGCACACATTTGGAATGTTTACAAATGTGCAAAGAATCTGATGTTACGTGCGACAGACACAGCGGGCGGTGTGCTCGATATACCTGTCGTGACTTTTTGCATTGCAAATGCACAGCGATTTGTCTGTTGTTGTGTTGCTCAAAAAGCCTTATTGTAACATGCAAGATGTCTTTCTGTGCCTTCTCGTGCATGCATACTGAAAAGATCACTGTTGTGCTTCCTGCAGAACAAGCCCCTGCACTACTTCTCATAGAAACTCATAAAGGCTCGAGTGTTCTAACTCTGTAAATTGGAGTCTGTGGTGGTTAAGATGACTGTGTGAGACTCGCATTATTCTTGCAGCGTTTTTTCCTTCATGAAATCTTTAATGCGTCTTGCTGCATTTTGAAGTTGCAGGAGGGGTTTGCACTGCAGCAGGTGTCTGTTGCCATGCATGTAGCTCGCAGCTGCTCCCTGGGGACTCTGTGTGTGTGCAAAGAAACACATTCTGCAAAGAGGGGCAGATGGGGAATAGAAGTCTGGACTCTCACTCTGTGTGGTTCTTTGCAAAGTGATTTCCTGATTATCCCTCCCTCCCTCACACGCGCTCCCCCGTGCAAGTGTGTGTGCCCCCTTTCAACTGTGTCGACGCAGAAGCCAGCAGGCGCGTGTTGGGGAATGTCTTTCACTGAGATGATCGATGGGGGGGGGCACATGGTGACCAGCACACAGACGGCTCGTTTCATGCCCCTCCTCTTCTTCCTTTTTTTTTTGTTTTTGTTGGTGGGGTCAGACCTTTCCAACCTTTCGCTCTAATCCTATTAAAAGCCCCTCAGAAAGGCATTAGGGTATAAAGCTTTGACATTGTAATCTGGGAAGGCGTGCTGCTTGCACTCTTGCACTTTTTTTTCTTCCCCTCCTTTTTCGCCCAGAAGGATTTCAAGTGATTACAATGTTTGCTTTTTCTGCAGAATAAGATGCATCATATTCTGCAATCAGAGGTTTTTTTTTTTTTTGTTTTAGCAGATGTGAAACATGAAAAATGAGAGCACTGCGTTTGCATATTGCCCAACACCTTCTACACTTCTTTGTGGACGTGAGTCACAGTTCTCAGTCAAATCTTGATTTTTCACAGTTTACAGTTGATGACTGAGCAGAGTTAAAGAGGTTTTTACTATTTCTCCCTTGCTCTGGTTGAGCCATTATGTTTACCTAGACCGAGAGAGAGAGCCCACAGCTTATTATCCTGTGTCTGGAGGGCTGTGGTCATGAGCAGAGCTCTGCTGCCGTCGGTTCAGGAGGCAGCCAGCCAGTCAGGCTCCAAAAGACAGACGACTCATCGGTAGAAGCAGACATGCAGTCTCGTTGCAGTTTAGCAACTCGTTTGCCGTGGCATTAGAGGAGATTTGCTGCACACTCTGTTATGGGTGCAAACAAACCAGCGCTGTTTGACCTTGAGCACACATTTCTTTAGTGTCCTTGTGTGGTATGACTGAAACGGTTTCATGTAGTGTCTTGCTTGCTGGTGACTTCACTTCAAGGGAAGAACAGTTGTAATTGTAAAGATACAAATCTAACTCAGTGATTTCTGTGGTCAGCACATCATATTTTTGCTTTGATACAAATCAGTGCTACGCTTTCATTTTCAGATATGCGTACCAAAATCTCTGTAGCTTAAAAGAAAAATACACTTCATGGGGCGTGCTGGACTCATGCAACTGTTAGCTAATTGCTCCTAGAAAGAAGAAAACCTTTTCTTCCTGATACTGACGGTACTTTTTTAAGGCTGCTTAATTTGCTCTGCAGATTAAATTGTATTGCTGCTGTGTTTATTTTTTAACCATTTCTCAATTTTCCAGATTCATTCAATTTCCAGAACACTTAAAAGTGAAGCAGACACACATAAAACTGAATCAAGATCATATTTGTTTGATGTGTTTTGCTTGTTTTACTGTGCTTGTAATCGGCATTGGAATTGAGGGAAACCTCAGTGTCTTATCGAGAACAAATAAAGGTTTGAAATGAAATGAAATATGTTGTAACAGTTGACGATTGATTTGAATTTAGGAATTATTTGATATCAAAATTCCTTGCACTTATGTTTCTTGTTTGTGTTTAACATACATATTATAGTTGATTAATTTAGGGATTATGATTGACTGGCATTTTACATTTAAGATAAAAAAAAGAAGGAAAATAAGTCGGGGGTGCTTGATAGCCTAGTGGTTATGTTGTGCTGCAGTCCTCGTTGCAGAGGTTGGGGGCTCGAATCCGGCCTCGGCCCTTTGTTGCATGTCACCCTCACTCTCTCTCCTCCCCACGTTCCTGTCTATCTTCAGCTGTCTTATCTAATAAAGGCAAAAAAGCCTGAGAAATATCTTTGGGAAAAAAAGTCGCCGCTACCCCCTGCAGTTCTCCAAAAGCAGCCTGAAAGATTTAAAGATTTAAGAACCCCCCTTTGAAGATCCAGCTCATGCTGATACTTTGTTCTGTCTGTATTTACATGGATTGTCATTTTGTTGTTTGCAGGCAGGCCAAGCCAGTGGACGATGCATCCCAACAGAACTCTGCGTTGGATGAATCCTGGGACTCTCCCAGTGAAGAAGAGGGAGCTCTGTATGGTTCGTCACCTCCTTATACCAACCGTCAGATGAAGCGGATGTCCGGCAAGCATCAGAGGAACAGCCAGACGAGGAACGCCGGAAGATCTCCCAACAAGGGTAAAATTCATCCAACTAAAACCTGAATTAAATACATTTAAAGAAAGTGTTTGACCCTGGTGTATGCGTTGTACTGACTAGGCAGGTGTGTGTTTTCTGTGTTTATTTCAGCGGAGGTGAACCCGTCTGTGCAGAGGGAGACCCCCAGGCCGGCAGAGGCCCCCGAGGAGCACAGCTACAAGCAGGGCAAGAAGCAGAGGGCCACGCTGCGCTCCACCGAGAGAGACCACAAGAAGACGTTTGAAGGCGCCTTCATGCTGGATCCGCTCTCGAAGTCCGGTCCCTTCAGCGCCCTCAACATGGATCCCAGGAAGCACTACCTGAGCTTGGGCTGCAGCAGCGGCAAGCAGCCCGTGTCCATGCCCTTCATGGTACGGACGCACCGCCAGACGTCGAGGACGGACTGCCCCGCCGACCGCCTCAAGTTCTTTGAAACTCTGCGGCTGCTGCTCAAGCTCACGTCTATGTCCTCCAAGAGGAAGGAGAAGGAGCAGCGGGGCCTCGAGAACATGGCCTTCATGGGTCACAACAACGAGGTCATCTGGTTGGAGCTGCAGGCGTGGCACGCGCGTCGCTCCACCGGCGACCAGGACGTTTTTCTTTTCACCGCCCGCCAGGCCATCCCGGACATCATCAACGAGGTGCTGCACTTTAAGGTCAACTACCCCAGTCTGAGAGGCGCCCAGTGTGTGGGCTCTCAGATATTTGACTATCAGAGCACCCCAGATCTCGTCAGCGGAGAGGAGACGGAGCCCGCCGTAGCCGAGACCAACCACTGTGGAGTCGACCCCTGGGGCTTCAGCGCCTTCCACTCGTCGGCGATGAACGCGGCGGAGCCTCTGGGATCCGGCGCCGACTGCAGGGAGCACCTTCAGCGCCAGCGGCTGGCGTTTGAGCAGGTGAAGCGTGTCATGGAGCTGCTGGAGTCGGTCGAGGCCTTGTACCCGTCTTTGCAGGCCCTACAAAAGGACTATGAAAAGTACGCGGCGAGGGACTTTCAGGGCCGGTTGCAGGCGCTCTGCCTGTGGCTCAACATCACCCAGGACCTTAATCAGAAGCTGCGCGTCATGGCCACAGTGCTGGGCCTCCACGATCTTTCCCGCATCGGCTGGCCCATCTTTGAGATCCCCTCACCTCGCTGCTCTCGTGGAAATGAAGAAGAGGACAACGAGGAAGACGAGGAGAACGACTCTACGGCCACTTTTACGGCCGAGAGCGACGCAGAGGACAGGGAAGTCGAGGACGAGGAGGACGAGGAGGTGGTGGAATTTGGACATGTAGCCGACGGAGAGCTGTCTCCAACCCTGACTCCTAAATTTGCTCGCTTGTTGTCGGAAGACGAGTTTCTCCCCACCGCCTCTGCAGGGAGCGCAGAAGCAGCAGCAGCAGCGGGCGGGGGGGTTTTCTGCCCCACGGCCATCTACAGACCGTTTGTGGATAAAGCTCTGAAACAGATGGGACTGCGTAAACTGATCCTCAGACTGCACAAGCTGATGGACCGCTCTCTTCAGAGGTCTAGAGCAGCACTTCTCCGCAACACTCCTGCACTGGAGGTGAGCAGAATCATTTCTTTAACAGCATGATTCATGATTCCCATGATGTGTCATCTACAACTGTAAGTGAAATTCAGAATGTTTACGGGTAAATCCTAACATCCCTAACAATATCATATTGTCCTGTGGAGATAGTAAATATTTATGAGGAGAGGAGGAGGGGAGAGGAGTATCGTAGAAGGGAGGGGAGGAGAGGAGGAGGGAGAGGAGGTGAGAGGAGGATCGTGGAAGGGAGGGGAGGAGAGAGGGGGAGAGGAGAAGAGGGGGGAGGAGGAGAGGAGAGGAGGGGAGAGGAGTTTCGGAGAAGGGAGGGAATGAGAGAGGAGGAGGAGGGAGAGGAGAGGAGAGGAAGAGGAGAGAGGAGGAGAGGGGAGGAGGGAAAGTACATACATTTTCAGTTGTCCAATTCTTAAGGCCTTTGCACACAGAGTGCAAATTCTGCATGCATATTCTGCCTTTAACCATTTTGTGGAGCGTTTCTGGGTGGTACTGCAAATGCAGTAAAGTAATGAGAACACTTGTTGAATAATTGAATATTCCTCTGAAGTCCGGAGGCTGTGCATATGGACTCAGGAGGAGACACAAGCTGTAGCTGTATAACATATTTAATAGGCGCCAATCCCTCCTCAATTTGAGTTGATGTTTTATGTCATGCAATCCAAAAGAGATGGATCCATAAGAGGTGGAAATCACAGGACAACTTATGATAAAATATGCAATATGTGGACCTTTAACTGTAGAATATAAAATGATCCTTAAAAGGTAAAAGTGCAGGATTATTGTGGATGTTCTCTGCTTTCATGTGTCAGTTTTACCGCTCACCATGCTTTGTCCTTTTACCTTCTTTTCACCGCTGTCAGACATCATCTCAAAGTATCCTTCTAATTATCTGCTGCCTTGAACTTCTTTGGCCAGAGTGCAATTCTGCAACAGCGCTTTAACAAATCTCCGTAATCAGGCCCAACATTCGAGACTCCCCCACACTCACTTCCTTCAAGAAATCCCTGAAAAATAACTTCTTCAACACGGCCTACAACCACGAACTCCCATCCTCCCCCCTTACATTACTTCTTCTTTGTACTGTCCTAGTCGTTTTTGTTTTTGGTGTTTTTCCCTCGTTAAAGCGTCTTTGAGTGTCCTTTGGCCAAGCGTCATCGTGCCTTGAAACAGCAGTCTGAATAGGGCTGGTGACTAGTGATGCTGTGAGTCCAGTTGGCCAGGAAATCTGTACGTTAGGAAACAACGTAGAAGTGAGTGCTGCACTGGGTCAAATCAGGTGCTCTTCAGGAACAGGGGACAATAGTCGAATAGCTAATAAAAAAGTTTGACTGTTTGATTAGAAGAGAAGAAATGAAGTGTGGAGAGGCTGTCTTAAACTGAAAGTCTGAGGCACTCTGATAACATAGAAAAATCCTTTATTTAACAGGGATTGTCAACGCGTTTCGACTCTGCTGAGTCTTCGTCAGGACATGATTGATAAAGATGAGACAGGTGCTTAAATAGGGTGTCATGTGACGTCATGGAACAAGTTCTGAAATATTTTAGTGTCATAATGAGTTTTTTATTATCTATAGGGCTACATTAGATTGCTAGTATTTTGTATTTTGTCCCAATCCTAATCTTTGCAGCGCTGGCCTAAGATATGCCATGACTGACCAATCAGTAAACACATAGTTTAGAATACTGTCTTTTAAAAGTAAGCCAAGCAACAACAAAAACATTTATTCCGAGGTTATAATGAAGCGGAGTAAAATGAAAAAGGCTGTTGTCACACAGGTTAGCCGTGGTGCTCTCAAGACATTCTGAATTAACTTGATCTTCCACCTGCAGTTTTCAGATTTCCCCGACCCCATGCTCTACAGTGATTACCTGCCAGAACTGTCCCGCCACCTGTCCTGTAGCGGCCCTGTTCACCCGGAGCTCGGAGCCGAAATGGTGTCCTGGGAGGATATGCTGGAAATGGACCTCCCGTCCTTCCAGCCGGCGTTCCTCGTGCTGTGCAGAGTCCTCCTCAACGTCATTCACGAATGCCTTAAACTGCGACTCGAACAGAGGCCCGCCGGAGAGCCGTCGCTGCTCAGCATCAAACAGGCAAGCAGCTGTAGAAACCCTGTAGACTTTTAAACACTCATTCATGCTTTGTCTGTTCAGGTAGGAAGTCTAAACACTGTGTTTGTATGTTTGTGCTCTGCAGTTGGTGCGCGAGTGTAAAGAAGTTCTTAAAGGCGGTCTACTGATGAAGCAGTATTATCAGTTCATGCTGCGCGGCGTGGTGACCGACGCTCAGGGCTTGCAGACGAATGCAAATATTGACGAGTTTGAAGAAGACCTTCACAAGATGCTGGTGGTAAGATGAGCTCAAAGTGCATAATATGTACTATTTGCATTATTCATGTGCAAGTTCTGCATTAAAGATCCTGTTTTTGTCTCGCATCTGTTCCCGTAGGTCTACTTCGACTACATGCACAGTTGGATCCAGATGTTGCAGCAGCTGCCTCAGGCCTCTCACAGCCTAAAGAACCTGTTAGAGGAGGAGTGGAACTTCACAAAGGTCATCACTCCTTACATCCGCGGAGGAGAGGCGCAGTCTGGGAAGCTTTTTTGGTCAGTCAACGACCTAAACACCAAACAGACATCAATATTTGTGCAATTTTTTGTACAAAGATACAATGTGTACACGAGCTAGCACCCTGTAGGAAATCACATCATCCTCCAATCCCATCCCCTACCTTATAAACAAAACAACAAAGATACATAAGTAAATAAAAAATGGAGGCGAGAGGAGAGGAGGAGAGATGAGAGTAGGGAAGGAGAGAGGAGGAGGGGAGAGGAGGAGAGAAGAGAGGAGGGAAGGAGAGAGGAGGAGGGGAGAGAGGAGAGGAGGAGGAGAGATGAGAGAAGAGGGGAGGGAAGGAGAGAGGAGGAGGGGAGAGTGGAGGAGTATGTAACACTTACATACACGATGGTTTTGATTGGATCTCCTAATAAAAATGTAAACAGAAGGGGTGATTATGGGGAACAGAACCTGATGCTCATTTCACCCAGACTTCAAAAAAGCTTGAACCAGTCCTTTAAAGGTGTTACATATACTCTGTAAGAAACTGAGGGTCTCTCTGCTCTTTGCAGTGATATTGCCGGGATGCTGCTGAAATCCACGGGAGAGTTCCTCGACGCCGGCCTGCAAAAGAGCGGTAATGAATTCTGGGAATGTGCAGATGACAGCACTGCCTCGGATGAGATCAGGTACTTTATATTTCCTTCAGCCTTTTATTAAAATATCCTCTTTTTTTATTATCCTCGTGTGAGTGTGTTTTTGATTTTGACCCCCATCCAGGCGGTCGGTAATCGAGACCAGTCGGTCACTCAAGGAGCTGTTCCACGAGGCCAGGGAGCGAGCGTCCAAGGCTCTGGGCTTTGCCAAAATGCTTCGCAAGGTGAGTGAAAGCAGTGAAGAATTTTTCACTCCCCTTGAAACAGAAAGCCACAGTGCAGTTTTTATATCTGTGACCCTGACTTTTTTTTAAACACTAAACTAGGACTGTGTGTTCTGACACACTTTTTTTTTGTTGCATCCTTCTCTGCAGGACTTAGAGGTTGCTGCAGATTTCAGTATCACCAACGGGGTGACGTCTCTCCTGGATGCACTGAAGAAGGGAAATCATGTCAAGGTGGGTTTTCTTTTTTTTTCTTTCAGTGTTGTCTGTTATAAATCTTTATTTCCTGTCCTGTAGGTATTCATGTACTGTTTCTGTTTTGATATCCAGGTTCAGATTCCAGGCCTGGAGGAGCTGCAGATTTTTGTCCCGTGCGGTTTGAAGGATCAGCGGCCTCTAATCCTGCAGCTTCTGAACGCCGCCGCGGGGAAAGACTGCTCCAAAGAGCCCGACGAGATGAGCGAGGACGAGACCTACCTGCTCATGAGCAAACACGGCGCCGGAGACTCCACCACTGACTCAGACTGGGCTCAGTGGGACGGAGAGCTGCTCAAACTGGTCCCCCAGATGGAAACTGTTGACACTTTAGGAGCCATGAAGGTAAGCGATATTCTCTGTTTTCCGTCTATATGTGTGTGTGGGCGTGGAGTTTAGAAGCCTCTCACCGGGGGTTTGATGGTTGTTCAGGTGGAGAACATGCTGCTGATCGTGATGCACTCGGCTCACCTGGTGGCCCAGAGAAAGGCCTTCCAGCAGTCGATGGAGGACGTGCTGTCTCTGAGCCGGGAGCAAACGTCGAGTCAGCCTCTCATCGCGGGCGCTCTGGAGGAACTCAAGGTACTTGTTTTACCAACCACACACTCTGATTACTAACCAGTTTAAAAAAAAAAAAAAAAAAAGTTTGTCACGCGAGCGTCTCTACAGGTGCACGCCGGTGTCCTACTTTCAATTTGAATATTTTCTGCAGCTGCCATCGTTAACCCAAAATCACCTTGATCTCACAGGATCTATCAGACCAGATTGTAGTGGTAGCTGTAACATTCAAAGCCACAATATCCTCATGTAGTTTACCCACAGTGATGCTTTTTGTTTTTCACTTTGGCTGCTTTCACTGTTAACTTTGAATCTACTGGTTTCTTCTCTGTATTAAAAATCAATCATAATATGATTACTTTCTCTCTCTCTCTCTCTGTCTCTATCTATCTCTCTCGCCCGCCCTCTCTCTCTCTCTCTCTCGCTCTCTCTCTCTCTCTCTCTATCTCTCTCGCCGCCTCTTTCTGTCTCTATCTATCGCTTTCTCTCTCTCACTTTCTCTCTCTTCTTTCTCTCTATCTCCCTCTCTATCTCTCTGTCTCTGTCTCTATCTCTCACTTTCCCTCTCTTTCTCTCTATCTCTCTCTCTCTTTCCCCCTCTCTCTCTCTCTCTCTCTCTTTCTTATCTCTCTCTCTCTCCCTCGCCCTCTCTCTCATCTCTCTTTCTCTTCCCCCTCTCTCTATCTCCCTCCGCCCTCTCTATTTCCCTCTTTCTCTCTCTCTTTCTCTCCCGCTCTCTCTCTCCCCCTATCTCTCTATCTCCCTCTATCTCTCTCTCACTCTCTCTCTTTCTCCCCCCTCTCTCTCTTTCTCCCCCCTCTCTATCTCTCTCTCTTTCTCCCTCTTTCTCACTCACTCTCTCTCTGTCTCTCTCTCTCTCTCTCTCGCTCTCTTTCTCCCCCCTCTTTCTCCCCCTTCTCTCTCTCTCTCTCTCTCTCTCTCTGTCCTCCTCCCTCTCCTCTCTCTCTCTCTCTTTCTCCCCCTCTTTCCCCCCTCTCTCTTTCTCTCTCTTTCTCCCTCCTTCTTTCTCCCCCTTCTCTCTCTCTCTCTCTCTCTTCCTCTCTTTCTCACTCACTCTCTCTCTCTCTCTCTCTCTCCCTCTGTCTCTCGCATTCACCCCCTCTTTCTCTCTCTCTCTCTCCCTCTCTCTCTTTTCTCCCCCTCTTTCTCCCCCTCTCTCTCTCTCTCACTCTCTGTCTCTCTCTCACTCTCTCTCTCTCTCTCTCTCTCTCTCTCTCTCTCTCTCTCTCTGCTGCAACAGAATGAGGCCCTGCAGCTATGCATCAAGATCGGCACGGCCATCGACCGGGTGGAGTACATGTTCACCACAGAGTTTGAGGCCGAGGTGGAGGAGTCGGAGTCAGCCACTTTGCATCAGTACTACAGGGAGGCAATGATTAAGGGCTACAACTTTGCCTTTGAGGTAACTGTAGGAGACACATAGACAATAGATTTTTTGATGGTGTAATCTAAACATCTCGACAGATGTTTCTGTGCTGTGAGGTGTGAAAAGATTGATCTAATCTGAGGGACGTCAGGGCTAAACACATTTCAAATCTTTAATTTTAAACACGATAAATATTTACGATCCGATATCCCGTCGAGTGGGGATGAACTCCGAGGACAGCAGAGCATGCCTGGATAGTCTTGTGAATAAAATAATAGCCAACTAGGAAGTAAGCTGACTGAAAAATAAAGCACAACAACAGCAAGCAAATCCATTTTTTACTCACCTCCAGCTCGTGCTGCAACATGTACAGAACATGTTCACACCGTTTCAACGACTTTATCCATAGTTTTACTTTCTTTTTCTCAAGAAGTCCAAAACTATCTCCACATGTTGAGACTTGAGATGTTTGTGAGCTGAATCTGTGTGTGGTGTGTTTTGTGTTGGTCATACTGTTTCTCTTCACACACTAACAGAACAAAAACTGTTAACTCCATCATTATCTGTCGTCATGTTTGGGGCCTTTTCATCTTCTGTTTAGATTTTTAAAAATCTTTTAGTGTGGTCCAGATGTACTTTCCTCTACTCAGATTTTGTTTTGTGTGTTTGACATAACAGTCCACTTATTTTACATTTCAGCCCCAGCTAATAAAAATAGAGTTTGATGTGATGTGAAGTGATGTTGTTTTTGATGCAGTAATGTTAAATATGTTCCTGTGTGCTGCTTTGTGTTGCAGTACCACAAAGAGGTGGTGCGTCTGATGTCAGGGGAGTTCAGGCAGAGGATCGGGGAACGCTACATAGCGTTTGCCCGCAAGTGGATGACCTATGTGCTGACCAAATGTGAGAGTGGCAGGGGTACCAAGCCCAGGTAAGCACTCACCTTCAATCGTCCCATTTTTTACTGGATGCTTTTTGTGCAGGCTCTGCAAACCCTCTTTGCTCAGGGATGTTTTTTTTGCAGCATTGCTACACTAGTGTAAATAATCCTTGCTTAAAAGTAGAACATACATTTTATTTTATTAAAAACATTAAAGTCGACCTATTCTGCTGATCCCCATTTAAAAAAGGGGTGAGGGGGGCCTTAAGGAGACAGCAGGTGAAACAAACCAAGAGGCTGAAATGAGAGTTTTTACTGGAGCTAGTTTAAGATAAATAAGGATTTAAGGTTTTAAGCTACAAATCATGCAAAGCTACTCTACAGGTTTCACAGACTGATGACATAAAAGGTGAAATTAATTATAATATGGGATCTATAAGATGTAGATCGTCTCAGATTATTGTAGTTAGGTGGATTCTGTAAATGTCGTGATCGACTTTTATATTAATTTTAAGATCTATTATTTACTGTGAAACCAGTTGTGTTTATCCTTTGTGTAAGAGCCACAGCATTGAACCTCTTTTTATTTTAAACCTCCATGCCAAGCTTTTTCTTTGAACCATAACAAGCTACCATGGCAACATCAGTTACATCACAGCATGCAACTACAGCAGTAGCACAACCCCTGTTGAGAGACTTTTCAAATGTACATTAAAAAGGTATTATGACTAATATGCAAACAAAAATAGTCATATTTCTTTTTAAAAATGATTTAAATTTGTTGTTTTCACCGTTGAGAATCAGTTTATAACCTAATGATGGTTTAACACCTTTAAAGTTTGATTCCCTGGATGTTGTCCATACATAGTGCTGCACGTTATCCGGGTCAGAGGGAGGGAGTAAATCCTTTTATCACTTCTTGATTGGCTGCCACGTTTCTCTCTCAGGTGGGCGACTCAGGGTTTTGATTTTCTTCAGGCCATCGAACCTGCCTTCATATCAGCGCTACCAGAGGAAGACTTCCTGGTAACACTTCCTGTTTTTCTACTTTTTGTTGTTTCCTACAAGATAACTGCTTCGGGTTATGATCTTGTCATTTGTCTTGACTTTGAGTTTACGTCTCTCTTTCTGCAGAATTTACAAGCTTTGATGAATGAATGTATCGGACATGTGATTGGGAAACCTCACAGCCCAGTAACTGGCCTGTACATCGGTAAGATGCTCCTCTTTTCATGTGAAATGTTTGTGGCTTCTATGTCTGAAACCCCAGGATGTATATCTCTGTTAAAGGTCACATATTATACTCTTTATCTTTGTCTATAAACCCCTCTATTTCAGCCCTGCTCAGAACATGCTGTTTCTGTGTCTGTACCTTTAAATATGTAAATGAGTGGTGTCTGACCACGCCCCCTTTCTGGAAGGGCTTGGGTGTACTTGAGCTTTCTCGTTCCATGTCCTATTGTTTACGGTGAGAAGGCAGACTCAGAGGTTCAGAACAAACACCTAGCTGTGGGAGTGTCACCCACCTGGGGGAGGGGCTAATGCCCTTTGTGATGTCATGAAGGGGAAATCTCCAAACGGCCTGTTTGAGCACACATTTTCTGAAAAGTGGAGGAGGGGAAAGACGGACAAGATGGACTTTTCTCATCATTGGGGGGTTTGTGGACAGACTAGAGACACATATTAGAGTTAAAAGTGTAGTTTGCATAAAATGTGACCTTTAAAATTCAGCGACATGTTCATAACGTGTGCGTCATGAGGACTCAAAGAAAGCACAATGACAATGCGATAACACTCGAAGCTAAGAAGCATGCATGTTACCTGAAGAATAACAGAAGAGTCACTTAACTGGTCTGTTCAGTCCTTTTCTCGAATCCCTGCGAAAAAACTGGTTATGTGTGAAAGTGCTTTTACTGTGTTACTGTGTTTACTCAGCAAACATTTCCTCAACAAATAAAGACGGAGACACAAACAGAAACAAGCAGGCCGACTTCAGAGTGATACAGGCCTGTTCCTGCAGTTAATACTCAGGAAGTAAACAACTTTACTTTAATTTATTTTATTTCAGACCCATTGGTCCATATCATGATAAAAAAAAAGAAAACAGACTAAATATAAATACAGGACATCACCAAAGGGATGAAATCTCTGCTGTTCTTCATTCTTCAGTTATTAAATTATACGAGACATTTGCACCAGAGCTTCCAGAAACACGAGGAACACCTTGTGAAACTTAGTGTGGGTGGAGTGAGAGACATCATGAATCACTAGTTTTCAGATGTCTGTACTTTAGATCTATTTTTCCTGACATCCTCTTAACTCAGCGGTTCCCAAAGTATTCACAGTGAGTTTTACCACAGGCAGTATTTTGCTCTCAAAGTACAACCATTATAGCCAACATTTTAAAATACAGTAGCGTAGCGTTTAACCACATGTACAGGTTACACTTTATTACTGACATTGTGCATATTATGTATTATCAACCGCACGCCATGTACTGCAGCCTGGGCTTATTCTCCAAAAGAATCCAAACTGGATGTGACTCGAGTCATATTTTCTTTCTGTTTATGCGTCGCTTTGTTGCTAGCGTCACTGCGCACTGCTTACGTCGCACTCTTGCACTTGTGCTACGTTCACCGTCGTCGACTTCAATTTCTGCCCCACTTTCCTTTTCTTTTCTGATATTTCCCCATTTGGAGCCAAAAATGCAAAAAATGTAACCGTCATATTCCTCCGCGTTCCATCACAGCTTTGCTCGTCAACCATTTGATTTGCACGTCTTGATTTAAAAAAATAAAATCAGAGGCTCCCATTTAACCCATTAAGACCCAAGGGCGCCTCAGAAAACGCCCTCTAAAACCTAAGAATCGTCTCAGCCTCTGTATCAGAAAGAGACCTTAACAATAAAACATTTGCTTTAACTGTAAATTAAAATTTACTTTGCACTCATGTTCATTCTATCAGCCATTACATCATGACCGCCTGTGTAATCTAATGCAATTCAATGCAACATCTCAACCGTCATTTCTCCTTTTAAGAAGCTTCTACATTCTCAGGTTTTGTTGACATGGTCAGAGAGGTGATAATCGAACTATAAATGTGCTTCCTGCTCACTGGTTGATAATACTTTGACTTTCCTGCACAGAACTGATTGTTGCACATTGCGTCCTCTAGAGTACAATAGATCTTTATTTGACATTTCCTCCAGATCCAAACACAACTTTTCCCCTCTTGTGTGACTTTGACTGATTTTAAGTTTTTGTTATTTATTCTTTCAAGCTCCCAGGAATAGTCCTCGTCCTGTTAAGGTCCCTCGCTGCCACAGTGACCCACCGAACCCCAATCTGTTTATTCCTAATGCAGAAGGTTTCAGGTAGGTGACTGCGGTTTTTATTTAAACATGTGTGATTGTTTAACTCTTTCCTGCATGGCTCATTGTGACTTTTTTTTTGTTTTGCTTTATGTGTCTGCTCATGTTTTTGCTCTGTAGTTGTTGAGCTTGTGTGTGTGTGTGTGTGTGTGTGTGTGTGTGTGTGTGTGTGTGTGTGTGTGTGTGTGTGTGTGTGTGTGTGTGTGTGTGTGTGTGTGTGTGTGTGTGTGTGTGTGTGTGTGTGTGTGTGTGTGTGTGTGTGTGTGTGTGTGTGTGTGTGTGTGTGTGTGTGTGTGTGTGTGTGTGTGTGTGTGTGTGTGTGTTTCAGTGTGTCTGTCCCTCAACCAGCCACGCAGCTACTCCCTTAAACATCTCTATTCACATCCCACGTTAAGCCACACCCCCCTCTCCCATTCGATGACAGAGCTCCTCAGTTTTGTTGTTTTTTTAACCACACAGCTCCCGAAGTCTCCCCTGCGACCTCCGGAACCAGCTTTTCCCCAACGGCCCTCGCCCCGTCCCTCAGGGCCCGGGGGAACAACACAGCCACAACAAAGCGCCCAGCAGCAGCCCCAATGACGTCAGGTAGCTTTTGTCCCCGAGTCACCTGTTAGAAACTGCTGTTAAGACACAAAAGAGAGCGCCGGCACAAAGGACGGGGAAGGAGGACAGGCCTCGTGTTCATCTGATTTAAAAAAAATCAGTTACCTACAGGCTCTCTCTCAGAAAGATTCAACATTCATGCTTTAAGGATAAGCTCAAGAGAAGCACCACAATTATTTAAACGCTTATCAAAGAGATGTGCCAAAAAACAGCTTAAACAAGACATTTAAAAAAACCAAAAACTCTACAAATGATAGACTTTGGATGTATTTATATTTATTTATTTATCCGATTTTTAGACTGATTCAGAAGGTTATTTGTCAGGTTGCTGATTCCTGCTCAGACGAGGAATTTTGATTTCAGGATTTGCTTCATTTGTCATTTTCCTTGTATGTCTGCATACATCAAAAAAGACAAATGCTGTCCTCACAACCCACAGCATTGCTTCAGCTACAGCACGGCTGTTCAGTAGTTTGAAACATATTAGACCGGCTCCAGCTCAAATCAAGTTCAAGAAGATGCATCTAAATAACAATAATAATAATAGTATGCAGCATGGCAATGACTTTGAAGCTGCCACATTTTCAGTTTGGATTTCAGTATTTCAGAGGATCAGGATGAAAGAAGCGACATCTAAACCAACCTGTCAAGTTAAACGCATGTTTTACTTTAAGCTGTCCTCGTTTTTGATTTGATATTTTTTTTAATATGAATTGCTGGAGACACTTTGAACACACAGTCATGTCCCCTTTACCTCTAATGCTTCATTCAGTAACATCATCCGTTCAAAATGTAGATTTCTGTGCATATACATATGACACTGAAGACATTTGCATCATCTTTGTTCTTCATACATATCGCCCTCTGAATTATTTATATTATTTATAACACATTCTCAACAATACGAGATGAGCTCACACCACTCGTGTAATCAGATTCACTGAGAGTTTAACATTTCTGATTTATTTCATTCTGCTCATTTCTGTTGGAGAGGAAAACAAAAACATGACGATTCGGGTGAAAGAATGAATGCATATTGAGTTTTTATAATTAATAAGGAAATGTTAGAATACTAAAAAGCTCAACTTAAAAAAAGTTCACTTGAGTAATAGGAGCCAATTTTGCTTGTTTCTGATGCGTGTTCAGTACTCACTTCTCCGTCGTTTTCATTTTCCAGTTTATTCACTTGAGTTTCCACAGAATCCAAACTTAACATATCAAAAATCTTAACTTAATCACGATCGGAAAACATGTTTCGTGTAGCTCCTACACCTTCACCACGGACAAAGACGATCTCACTTTCTCTTCACCTTTGCATCGCGGTCACATTAATTACTCAGCTCCAACCATGACACAAAAAACCTGCCAAAAATAATGTGCCCAAATAAATCCATTATTCAACATAAAAAGCAATACAAGTTTTCATTTCAAATCAAATAACTCCCATAACAGAACACTTATTTCTAATGATCCAGAATATATCCTTTATCAGAACCAACTGAATTCAGACTAATATAACCATGATTAAAACAGCTTCTACAACATCTAACAAAGGATGTTCAGAGAGGGTCGCTTTAATGGAATCCCACTCCCTCAGGCTAATATGAAGTTCAAAAAGATGCATCTCAAAGATCATGTGAGCGGCTTTGATGTAGGACACAAAAGAGTGAAACATGAGAACCGACCGGGTGAGAAGAAGTCGGATCAGGATCAGGGAAATGGCGTTTCACATGTTACTTGTTAAAGGTCAGAACAAAGGTGAAAGGGAAGAGACTGTGGTTACTGTGCATGGTGTGAAAACACTCCTACCTCATTGAAAGAGTGGCTTATGATGTTCTTGCTTATTAGTGCTTTTAACATCGGTCTTGCTTTGATGCTGGTGATTCGCCGCTTTTAGAATTTGGGCTTTCTTTTTTTTTCTTTCTCTTTTTTCCCTGTGTTTGCTTTTGAAGTCAGAAGATGCACTCGAGAGATCTAACCTTCAAGTGTGTATGAGCTGAGTAATGACTCTGATGCATGCTGAACTTTTAATGGGTTTCAAAAGCGCAGACCGGGAAGTTGAATCTCCGCTTCTCTTCAAAGGTCGGACGTCTTTTTGTCAGTTTTTAATATCAGACTTTTACCAACATTTTCATCTTGCACACAAGTCTGTGAACATCATCCCCTAAAAGCAGCAACAGAGGAAGATGATGTCTGTACCCTTTCAAATTATAAGCCCCCCCTCCTTCATTAAGGTGCCTTGAAAAAGCTTTGCACTGTCTCACATTCAATTAGATTTAAAGGAACCAGTGCATGACATTTCTCAAGTGCATACTTCATCATTTCAAGAGCATTACATTAAGAGCAATCGGCCCTCGTTGTTGATTTTTTAATTTGTCCTTTAGCAGATTAAGAGCTCAGAAAACTAACTGTCTGAATCTGCATTGTTCGATGGAAGCTGAGTGTTACATCACTTTCCTCCACGTCCTTGCAGGGGATCCAGTTACCATGAAAACGACCGGCTGTCGACGGTTGCAGCAGAGTTGCATTTCAAATCTCTGAGCCGCCACTCCAGCCCCACCGAGGACAGAGAAGGTGGGTGCATTGAACAATCTGCATACTTTGATCCACATTGTGCGATATCTATCGGCTTGTTTGATTTAAATATCACTCTGGTGATTTCCTTTCCTTAGAACCCTCCTATCCTAAGAGTGACCCCAACAGCGCTGCCCGCCGAAGCTGGGAGCTCCGAACCTTCATCAGCCAGTCAAAGGGTACATTTTATGGGCTGATACATTAAATTAGGTTGAATAATACCAGTTACAACTTGCTTGACCACTGCTTTATTTATAGATCCCCCTCCTGCTTCTAGTGTACGCTTACAATAAAAACAATTAAACTTGAAGCCAACACACAGAGGTGGATCTTAGGTAAAGTTTTAAAACTGTCCAGGGTCTGGGCAGCTCTGATGATCACAGGTAGACTGTTTCACAGATTTAAAGAAGTCACTGCAAAGACTCTGTCATCTCAGGATTTCAACCTGGATCGAGAAACATCTGATTGGTTGACCGCCTGGAGCAACAAGTTAGACAAATATGATGTTGCCAGCTCATGTAGAGTTTTAAAAATGAAGTAATAAAATCTTAAACTGGATCCTGAAGCCGACAGGAAGCCAGTGAAGAGACGCTTCTGTGTGTGTGCGATGTGATCCGGTCATCTCTTCCCAGTCTGTAGACGTGCAGCTGCATTATGAGTTAAGCGACAGAGAGATGACAGGTTGACCCAGGGGTGGGCAACTGGGGGAACCGGGGGCCACAAGCGGCCCCCATCAACTCTCAATGTGGCCCTCAAGTCAATTATTACACATCAATTAATTGGAAACATGAAGAAAACATGACAAAATCTGCCATGAAATCATGAAAACCAGAAATATGCTGAGTTGAATTTGAGACCTAATTGACTGTAATCGCTTTTGTATCCTACAATTTGGCCCTCTGGCAGTGAGAATTAAATGAATTTGGCCCTTGCTGCATCCCTGGGTTAACCCCAAACACAAAAAAGTTACAGTATTAGAGAAGTAACAAACATGTGAATGACTCGCTCATGATGGGTCTTCACTTTCTCCCTAAAGGTCTACACTGAAGTAATCTGAGTAACACAATCAAATGTGTTTTTATAATAATTGATTTCCTGTCTTCGCTCTCAGACACAGCAGCGCGACAAAGCCCCATGGAGGCCGTCCGCCGCTCCATCCGCAAGTTCGAGGACAAACGCTACGCCGTGATGAAGCAGCGCAACATCATCGGCCAAGTGTGCCACACGCCAAAGTCCTACGATAACGTCATGCACGTCGGACTCAGGAAGGTGACCTTCAAGTGGCAGAGGGGCAACAAAATAGGTAAGGCGGCTTCCTTCAAGACCGCTTGTGTTCTGATGTGTGGATTAGATTTAAAGCACGCTGTGATGTAATCATGTCTGTGTGTCGATCACAGGTGAGGGTCAGTACGGGAAGGTGTACACCTGCATCAATGTCGACACTGGAGAGCTGATGGCCATGAAGGAGGTAACCAGCCACTGCTACAGATTAGGAATAGTTGTTTGATATGTGCGGAGTGTTAACACGTGATTTGTTTTTGTTTTCATCTAGATTCGATTCCAGCCCAACGATCACAAAACAATCAAAGAGACCGCAGACGAGCTGAAAATATTTGAAGGCATTAAACACCCGAACCTGGTGCGATACTTCGGAGTTGAGCTGCATCGGGTAAGAAGACTGTGTTTATGCACTCTGACCTGCACGAGTTCGCAATTTGAAACAGTTTTAAGAACAGTTGTATGCATTTAGCACCATTTCAAAATAGTTAATAATTGTCAAGCTGAAGGAAAGGATGGTGCAGGAGATTAATCATGTTCAGAAATAGAAAATATGAAATGCTTTGCTGCAAAACCCCTAAGATGAGGTCAAATCAATTACCGTAAAATTCTTTAAATACTTTTTAATTTTCATATTTAAAGTCAGCTGACGCCTTTATATACTGTATACTGGTGGGACTAATATACCAGTAAAAAAATGTGAAGGCATTTTCCATCATGAGTGAGAGTGCAGCCGCCTCAATGACCTTCTGCATGCGACCTGATGTGATCAAAATGTGCCTCCATCATTGTGTGTTACAAGCAGACGCTCCACTATGACAACATGCTGGGGTTCAATGGTGACGCAGACCAGGCTGGCAGCGCTACCTTTTTTTTAACAGGTCTTAATACTGTAAATAAACCTTGTGAAGGGCTGTTTTGATTGAAAAGATGCCTTCACAAGGATGTGGATTAAATGTAAAATATGCAACTCTTCATGTAAAAAAAACCCTTTAAAGGCCATTTGTAAGGTTATCAAACTCGATCTGCAGATAAAAGACGAGAAGTGAGCAGCGCTTGTGGGCAGTGTGACTCTCTGAAAATAAGCACAGGCTGTGGGTCCGTACTCCACAACATGTCCATGTTACCATAGGAAGAATCCATCCATCGTACCAGCAGCTATCAGGATTGCAAAACTCCACATTGTGAGAATAGATCGTAGTCGAAAGAGCAGCACATGTTGAACACAAGAGAAATCATCAAAACGGGAAGACAGTTTAAACCTTTAGCCCCTCCTCGGAGACTTCACTGTAAATACCGGTGCTATTTACAGTATATTCTGGATTTTACTTCTACTGTAACTTATGCTTCCAGAACAGACGTCTGCTTTTTGCACTGCTAAGCCTAAATAAGTCTACTTGAATTTTAAGTTGTAACACCGCCAAATGTGCAAAGTCCCAGAGAGGGTGAATACTTAATATGTTTTGAATCACGCTGCTTATACTGAATCAGTTATTTCCATGCTTTCACCTGTAGGAGGAGATGTATATCTTCATGGAGTACTGTGACGAGGGGACTCTGGAGGAGGTTTCCAGACTCGGGCTGCAGGAGCACGTCATCCGGCTCTACAGCAAACAGATCACTACAGCCATCAACGTGCTGCATGAACACGGCATCGTGCACCGGGACATCAAGGGTCAGTCTCACAAACTCTTATCTGTCATAATCCTTTTAGTGAAGTGCAGAAGTGCAACATCCCTTAACCAATCATGTGTTTGTTTTTTAATCAGGTGCCAACATCTTTCTGACGTCGTCTGGCCTGATCAAGCTGGGCGACTTCGGCTGCTCAGTCAAGTTAAGGAACAACACTCACACCATGCCCGGGGAGGTGAACAGCACACTGGGGACTGCAGGTAACAACATTGTCTCCTGTCTTAGCTGTATGCCACCACTAGAGGTCACTGTGTCTTTATATTCCACCCCACCCCTTTGACTGAAGATGCTCTTCCATACTGAGATTTATTTTTAAGTGTTTGTATTTTAACTATTCATTGTTTTCATTCTTAATCAGCATACATGGCTCCAGAAGTGATCACCAGGGCAAAGGGCGAGGGTCATGGACGAGCAGCAGACATCTGGAGTTTAGGCTGCGTTCTCATTGAGATGGTGACTGGAAAGGTGAGGAGAGAAGGAAACACATCTTCTGTAACACACAACACATCATGTCTTTTAAGTCATAGGTCATTCAAACTTTTACTTTTTAAAGTGCTACACAGGCTTGATTTTATTTACAGACCTTAGATAAGATTTAGCATCTGCATGCAATGATGTTTCAGCCCAGTTTTGTCAAATTTCATTCAGCATCTTTTGACACACCTTGCTTTGGTTGGGTCAACCCTAACCCATGAATCCAAAAAGCCCCATCACTTATTTGGCCATAAAGTTCAGGTCAAATATAAACAATATCCGATTTCTAAAATACATACAATTAGACGCTTTTTCCACGGTCTTGCCAAAAGGTGTTACCACGTTTAAAAGCCATTGACCTCCTGTGAGCACTACACCTGCTGCTAATCAGCATCCTTTAAATACGATTTAGCTCCCTGAGCTCAAGGCACCACCCAGTGGTCAGCCCGACAAAACAAAACACTTATCATGACTCAAACAACATCAATATGAAGTAGGATATCTATTCCTTTAAAAAGGCAGGTTTCAAAACTTGATTTCACTTTGATTTGTTATTGTTAAGCTTACCCATGCTTTCATATCTGAGGAGCTGGTAGACGTTTAGCCACACTGCCACTTCCAGAGAGATGTTCATCTGAGTTGTTTAGGAGAGTTTTTTGTCCTGCATGCCTGAGGTCATAGATAAAAACTAAAAGAATTGTATTTTCCTCCTTTTATCCCAACGTGCAGAGACCCTGGCACGAGTATGAGCACAACTTCCAGATCATGTACAAAGTGGGCATGGGCCATAAACCCCCCATCCCGGAGAAACTGAGCACAGAGGGGAAGGACTACCTGGGTCACTGTTTGGAGAGCGAACCCAAACGCCGCTGGACAGCTAGCATGCTGCTAGACCACCCGTTTGTTAAGGTGAGTCCTGTTTCCTTTATCACAAAATATCCAACAGGGGTCAACTGATAAGCTGTTTTTTTGAAAGCGGGTATTTTACATGGTACCAGTAAATCTGCATTTCTCTTTCTGCATTGCTAGAAGTATTTACAAAATAACATGGAGATGTTTCACCTTAGATGCAGTTTAAGGGTGGGGGTTACATTTTTATTTATTCAGGAGAAAAAAAAGGTCATAACAATCACACACAATCACAAACATATGGTGCTTTGACACTTGCACAAGGGTTAGGGTTTTTCCTGCCAGCCCTCTGGTAAATTTTCCACAAGGAGTCGTGGCGAGCTGATGTGAGAACAAGGCAGGAAATTTCAAGAATGATTCGCAGCAGCGAGCAGAATGGGGTGTCGGCGGTCGTAACCTGCAACAGGACACACACTCGTTGATATTGTGAACGTGTGGAGCATTTATTTAAGGCATCAAATATCATCATAGCTTTGGACTTTGTTGCTTCATCCTCTACTTCCTCGTCGCCCTTTTTGCGTCAACTCTTACCATCTGAGAGCCCCCCCCCCCCTCCTGTCCGAGAAGTCTTCCCAGCTGTGAGGTGCCTGTGTGGAAAAAAACAACAGAGGACGATTTCTGGAGCAGTCTGCCGAAAATGTACACCGAGATTACTGGTTCAGATACAAATGATGCCGACGTAGAAACGTGGTGAAACTAGAATACATTTGGGAGATGAGCCGGTTTAATAATGTAGCTTCAGTGTCCGTGATATAGCAACCTGAGTGTACATCGACTCTACTGAGGAGGGGCCGGGGGGAGACAGCTGTCTTGTTGTCTTGATGTTTTGAATTTTGACTGCAGTACCCATTTTAAACACTAGGTGTCAGAGCTACATATTGCTCCTTTAAACCTTTTTAAACAGAAAGGCACACCAAAAAGCTTTAAAGCCTCTCTCCCTCTCTCGTCTGTTTCAGGTTTGTACGGATGAAGAGTGAACGGACCCTCCTCTGCGGCTGTCGAGTTTACAAATGAAAGCACTACTGTACACGCTGTCGTCAAAGAGAAAAACTGAACTGTGGACGCTGAGACGAGGACGTTAACGGCTGAAGGCACATGGAGTTAAACTGAGGAACTAATACAAAAAATCATTTCAGAGGACAACTGGACCTATGGATTATAGGGGTTGTTGAGTCTTTATGTACCCATGAACCTCGGAGGGGGAGGGGTGGGACTTGTACATACTGTAAGAATAGGAGTGGCTTTAATTCTTGTATAAACAATATTGTAAAGTAACTATTGCCACATTTGTTGTTCTCACTGGTGAAGAGACCTCTGAAAAGGCATTGAGGAAACCTTTTTTTTTTTTTTAACAAATGGGAGGGGGTCGGTGGGTGGGAGGGGGACAAAATCTATGGCACTTTTAAACTGTTTACCCAAGGGGCAGTTGAGGAGAGGAGGGAGGGATCTGATTTCAGTCGCCCCTTTAAAGGCTGAAGAAGGCGTGGCACGCCTCACTGAATTGAAGGAGACGCTGGTTATGAAATGAACACAATACAAATATTCAAATTAATTTATCTCTCGTCATTTTAGGCAACGTGGGCACTAGGAAGGATTATTTTTAAAATGTGTTTTTTCTTTGCCTTTGCTGAGGAGTAAATGTTCAAGTCTACTGGTGACGAGCGGGTCATGTGACTGGAGCGTAGCTGACTGAGAGGAGGAACGGGGCCTGCTCTCCCTCCCTGCTGCTGATCATAAAAACATCCACAAACACACACACACACACTGACACACACTGACACACAACACAACTTCTGGTCCTCTGCTGCTCTTACAGTGTTTGCTATGTACAAACCATATTAATAAATCAATCGTTTTTTTAAATCAGGTGTCTATTTCCTTCTAAAAAATATATTTTTATTAACATTAAATAAATGGTAAGTACAGATTATTTTTGTTTGCAAGGCTATTAATGCATCATTCTTGTCAAATGTTGAAACCTAAGGTAAAGTACAGAACTACAGCAGATTGATGACGATGAGGCCACTGAACAGGTGACAAAAAAAGGCATTTCAGCAGCCGCTGAAGGACTTCAGTTCTGTAAATGTTGCACAACTTCAAGCTTTAAAAGCTTGGCTCACATCTCATTCTACACATAAGATAACTTTATCACTGAGCTACGTCAAACAATTATCAGATTAAGTATTTTGTTGTCCAAGGGTGTGGCAGCACTTCACAGCGCTCGGACTGCAGAAGGGGTCAGAATTGCAGAAAGGGAATTCCACAGGGTTCAATTTTAGGGCCTTTGATCTTTAGTTTCTTTATAAATGATTTAACTAAAAAGCTGCAAAAGAGTCAGCTGCCAAATGTATGCAGATGACATGGTTAACAAAATCCTCCAGATGGCAGCAGAGATACTCTCAGAAAGAACTGTGAACATATTCTGATGCATGCCAAAATGTTAACGGGTTTCAATAGGCATCCTGAGAAAAAGCGTACTTGTTTTTTTACATAGAAAGGTCAGATGACATCAGTTTTGAAACCTTACTTACCCTCATTTTAGATCTAGTTACAGGTCTGGGTCGCTTTCCCCAAGATGAACTTAAAGGATATATTTTAAAGTTAAAAAATCACTATGGCAACCAGTGTCCTTCAGGAACACAGCCATGTTTAGATTAAATATCCGAGGGCAGTGTCAATGGCTTCTTTTAAACTGTTTTTTTACTTGTCAACAATATTGAATAATTTGGATTTTATGACCTGTCTGTTTCATTTTGCACTCCTCCCACAGTCTAAAGACATGCTTGTTAGGTTCATTTGTGGCTCTAAGCGCCCGTAGGTTTGAGTGTAAGCAATTAGGGTGTACCCTGCCTCTCGCCCCATGACAACCAATGACCCACCATGACCCCCCATGACCCCAAACAGGACTAGTGGTATAGATAATGGATGGTTGTTTTATTTTGCTGTCCTCGTAAAGCATTTGGTAACTTTATATTTAAAATGTACTCTTCAGGCATGATTCATCTGTGCTACTTTGGCTCTTTAGCCAAGTTGAGGAAAAACATTCACAGCTGACAACTCGATTAAAATACAAGATAACAAGTATCTCTGACTGGGCTGCGTCCACCGTGAGTCACTGTAGCTTTAAATCTGTGAGCTCTTGTTCAGTGACTTTTACACCGACCATTGTCTTAAACATAAATGAGACCTTGTGATTCCAAAGAGGCAAGTTTGTGATGCAAACATGACCGATCGGTTTTATACATGCTTATTAAACCTCATCAATATGAAGGTTGTTTTCCCTTTTTTGGGGGATTCATGGAAATGTCATATACTATAATTGTTTCCTTATTTAAACTGCAGATTATCTTTTTCTTTTTCTGTTTCCTTTTGACTGAGTGGACAGACTGAAAAAAATTACTTTGGAAAATTAGTGTTAAAAAAACAAATATTTATTTATTCCATCTTTTAAAAAAAAAAAAAAAAAAAACATTAACCTATAATCTCTGAATTAAAATCAAAGAGGTAGTCCAGCTGTCACTTGGTTGTAATGTTGATTTTACAAGTGAAAAGGCTTGTCTTGACTGTATTCAGTTCTGAGAAAGTAGTAAAGCCATATTTAATCTTGACACAATCATTTCATTATGTTTCTCAATGTAATGGAGTCCTGATCCTAAATCTTGAGTGTTCAGATGATATGAATCCGTCTGCCCTGCGCCTTGGAGCAGGTTTACACATGTTGAACCGGCAGATCCTGTCAGACTGGTGTTTACATTTTCAGCTGCCAACACCTCTCAGGGTCGTAGCTGTGCCGTGCTGCAGGAGCCTCTAGTTGTTGTTCAGAGGAACTTCCTTATCCCCATAGCTCGAGCCTCTGTTGATCTCAGTCTGGCCAATCATCCAGCGGACTCCGAGAGAGGCTGTGAAGGAAGGATTTAAAAAAAAAAAGAGGGCATTTAGAGTATCATCAGAGGCGGAAGCAAGAAGAATGTCGTCATTTATAATACTTAATTCCCTTTTTTGAATTAAGACTTTCCCTAACACTTTTAGGGACCAGAAGTAAGGGGCAAGTTTAATTAGTAACTTCATGTTGTTTACATATTACTGGATCTTTTAAATATTTAGTTAAGATAAGTCTGTCTTATTTAAGAGGAGAGTGTTTGTTCACCTCTAACATGGGTCTTTATTGACTGTGTAAACATGCTGTTTGTGTTGTAAGAGAAAACTTTTCCCCATTTCAGTCTCCATTGGTGTTTTCACACATGCACCAAATCCTGAAAATTCCCCCTGAAATTTTGTAGGAGAGCAAATGTCTACATTTTTTCTGCCAGCACTCCAAGTAAAATTTCCCCATGAAGTCGGGGTGAGTCGACATGTGAACGCGGCAGTAAATGTCCTGGAATCTTCACCAAAAGGGTGAAGATGTTTTTTCTTGCAACAGCTGCGAGACCTGTGCTATCGCCATGCATGTAATGATTTCTGCCCCCCAGATGCTTCTTTACTCTCATTCTTTGATGCTGTGAATTTTGTCGGACTCTTGACACTTCGTCCGCCATGTTGGATTTCAGCAGTCATTCCTGTCCGACAGAGAAAACTTCTACGCTGTGAGGGACACAACATCTCAGGGGAAGGATGTCCTGAAATAGTCTAGAAACTTTCAGCAGTGCGTGTGTGAAAACAGCTGATGAAACTTTCAGCTGGATGAACTTTTCTCTCTGCTTAGTGAGAACATGCCTGAATGATGTTATGGGCATGCTTCTAAGACTCATAAATCATACTTTCTAAGAAAGAAGACTTACATTTGAGTTGACAAATCTGCCGCTTTATGGAACGAAAAGGAAAGAAATTGAAGGAAAAAACAGTTGAATGTGTTTCTGGATGAATTGGCAAAAATGACACCAACCTGCAAAGCAGAGAGCCACAGAGAATACAATGGTCAGCATTGATCCAGAGCTGAGGAGCTGAGCGAACAACAGGCCCAGTGGGTAGAGGAGCAGGCAGGCCCAGAAGAGCCAGTTGATCAGGGTCCAGGGGCGGCGTGGAGGGCTCACTGTGGGGCCGGGGAAACGCCCCGTCTTGGCATAGTGCTCCTGAAAGGTATCCTGTTAACACATCAACGCAAACAATCAGCACAGAAGAACATGGCTCCTTTAGTCCGTTAGAAGACAGAATCAAACTCCCGCCTTTAATGTTTAACCATACACTGTAAATAAACATGGACTAAGCCTGAGGGACATAGCCCATTAGTTAGCCTGTGGAGCCTGTTTAACCTAACTTTCAGTCAACCTCACCCCAGGCAAAGAGCTGGAGATGAGGCAGGTTAAAGCCTCCTTTCAAACAGATACACCGCGCCCGATTGTCAGTCAGGTCAGCCATGCGCCTCATCATTAACTCCTATCCATCATAAAATCAAAAAGGATGAGTTATTAAAAAAATGAACTAATCCAACCAATTTTCTTTACTGAACCAGGTCGTAAACATTTTTTATTTCTGCTGTAAAAACTTCCATCTTTGAATGGGGTGTGTATGTGACCTCTGGTGCTTCTGCAGGCCAGCCTCAAGTGGACAATCGGTGAACTGCAGGTATTTGCACTTCTGCATTTGGCTTCATTTTTCAACACCGCAGGTTGCTGCTTTAATTTAATTTAAACAGCTTGTCTAAAAGGGTTACTTAAAGGCCATGAGGAGTGAGTCAAGAGATGTTTTACAGTAAAGAGGAGGGAAGTCATCCAACTGTCACCACATGAACAAATGCATGAATGAAAGCTTTTGTACTGCGTGAAAAGAGGGATTCAATTGGAACCATAGATACACTCTAAGCGGCTCACCCTGACCTCACAAGGTCATATTTGGGGGCTGGCTGGTTTGTGTTCACACACGCAGCTCACTGTGAACATGTCAGGTTTAGCGTGTGAAAACACAATCTGGGGGCGCTGGTGGTGCAGTGGTTAGTGCACGCGCCCCATGTATCGAGGCTGTAGTCCTCAAAGCGGGCGGCCCAGGTTCAAATCTGGCCTGTGGAGCCTTTCCTGCATGTCATTCCCCTCTCTCCCTGATTTCCAGCTCTATCCACTGTCCTATCGCTCCATTAAAGGCCCAAAAAGCCTTAAAATATATCTTTAAAATAAAAAATGGAACCGTATCAGGAAGAAAATATTGTATCCCTGTATCCAACAAACACATCCACATGCTCTAACCTTCTCCTGGTAGAGTCTTTGGAGCCAAGCCCCACACTCGGCCTCGTCCTCTGGGATCGACTCCAGTGGGATTCTCCTGCAGGTGAAAGGTAAAGTCAGACCTATCAGAAAAGGAATCACCATACCTGACAAAAAAAAATACTGACATATTTTTCATCTGTGCTTCAAAAAACGTTTGTACCTGACATATAAATCTGCGTGGAATTTCTTCCCATTAAGGATATCAAGCAGGGTCGGTGCAGCTTTGTCTCTGAAGTTCAGGTTGGAATCATAAACTGCGGCGGCTGCACAAGAAAAGACGGACAGTTAAACGGTTCTCAACTCATTTGATTTGCAAATGCTTCTCTTCCTTTCTCTCTCAAACACATCCAGTATCCGATATCTACCGGTGGCCATATTTAGATACTTCGGTGACTCACCGGTCCCTCTGAGGTTTTGCACAGTTATCCAGAATCCTTTGGTCCTGGGCAGAAGGTGATGCTTCAGTTTGGGTAAGCCTTTGCTCTCGGCCACCTGCATGCTGATCTCGTGCTTCTTTTGTGTGAAGCGTGTTCCTTCACAGAACAGCAAGAACTAATCATCCCCCCCGCCAAAAAAAAGGTAGATTATTTTAAGGAATTATTCACAATATGTCAGTCTGTCACTCTCTCTATAATCATGTCCATAGGGTGAAACTTACCCAATAGTTTACTGGGTAATCCCGCAGTTTCTGCAGACTCTTAGCCACCGTCCTCCGGTCCTCCTCCCACTTCCTCTTGCAGAAAACTATCTCCAGGAAGTACCACATCCAACCAATAATAGGTACATAACTCAACTGTTCCTTGGCTAAAACTTTTGAGCTCTGTAAAAAAAAAAAAAGAGTACAATTTCCAGAAAATCTAAAAAATAGACAACTTCAGGACCAAAGACAAGAAAAATATGAAATATATCTGGGACACTTTCTCTTACCCCGAGCACACCAAATCTCTCACAGAAGGTCCAACCACACAGGAAGTCTATCTCAAAGCTGTGGTTAAGAACAACAATTGCATTCTCGTTTCCATACAGCGGGTAGCTCTGTGGGTCTGTGTAGAGCGTGCATTCTGTCCCAGACCACCACTCCAGTGCAGCAACCATCTCTGAGGATTATCAGGGAGAAAATGAGGAAGAGAAGTCAACAGTGTTTGGTAAAATAATGCTATAAAGTAATTACCTTTATTCAACAAGACAGGGGACGCTTTTGCTCTACAGTTATTGTTCTAAGGGACTCTAACACTTCATCAAAATTAAATATCTCCACTGAATTTCTAATGGCCTGTAGATGTGGGACTGCAAACACCTGGGGGAGGGGTTACTGCCCTTTATGATGTCACAAAGGGAAAATCTCCAAACAGCCTGTTTGAGCACAGATTTTCTGAAAAGTGGAGCAGGCAAAAGACGGAGAGGATGGACTTTTCTCATCATTGGGAGATTTGTAGACGGACCGGAGACACATACTAGTTTAAGACAAACATGGTAAAGAGTATTTTGCATAATATGTGTCCTTTGAATACTTTCGTTTTTAAACAATCTGGCACTACAGTTTCCATCAGGAACAATAAAGTTCTACCATATCTTCTTTTAATCTTGTCTTATCTTGCCTTATCTGCATGTGTCAGAGAGGAAGTAGTACTTACGGCTGCTGATGCAGTATCCCAGTTTGACATTGACTCTTCGGGCCAGCTGCTTATTGACCAGCCACAGAGGTGAGGTACAGAGCTGCAGCAGGTTGACGATGAGTCCACTGACCAGAAACACGTAGCAGATGATCAGCTGACACAAGAACTGTGATTTCAGCAGCTGCAGGAGCCCCATTGTTCTGGAAAGGTTGCACAGGAGAAGGCATCAAAACACAAAACACCACCTCCCGTCACACACTGTGTCGAGACATATTTCATCCTGCAGAGATATCAGCTTGTGTTGCCCTCGTCAGTGACATCAACCCATCATCAGCCCATCTCGGACATAAAGGCTTTCTTTGACTGGCCTCCCTCTGCTGAATGGAGCCTTTCAGCTGAGACGCTGCATAAACAGCCAATCATAACAGTTTGCTCCTGACAGTGCTGCATGACTTTTCCAGGGTTAGGAAAACCAACTTAAACTGTTTACAGCCTAAATCATACCTATGCTGTAGTTTCATCAGGGCCTCAACTATTAAGCTTAAAACTGTTTACAAGCAATCTGTCTGTTATTAGATATATGTGTTCAGATCGGTCAAGACAACAGTATCTTTATTAAAATAATAATAATAATAATAATAATGATAATAATAATAACCATAATAATAATAATAATAATAACTTTATCATTTATCATCAAACTTCCTTTCAAAACAAAGACCTGCAGAGAAGGTAGCAAGAATCAGCTAAATCTTAGAGCAGCATTGACATTAAGGTGGGAATATGAAATGGCAGTACAGCAGAATAAACTATCAAAATGCAAATATTAGTTTAACATGAATTGGTTTAAAGGGAAATAAAGGTCAAAATAATTTACTATGGTTCAAAAGCTCATTAGAAAGATACACTTTCATAGAACAGTGAGATACCAAAATCAAACTATGTCTGATGGAAAAAAAGAAAAGCCTGATATTCTTCAGAGTATCGATCATCTATAGACTTTTTATTTAAAAAAAAAAAAAACAGCACTCAAGTAAACTGGGAAGATGAGATGGAAATTAAGCAGACGAAAGTATGAAACTGAAATCAAATATTACTGTAGCAGAGTTTAATTTAGTTTAAAGGTTACATTTATGACACACCTATAAAACAGACCATTAATTCCTCTCGAACACGTGACACTTACCTGGACGGGTCTACAGGCTCCAACAGAGATCTCCTGTCTCAACTTTTCAAAGCTGGCAAATTAAAAGAAATAAAAACAGGGCGTTTCAGCAGCATGCTACTTGAAGTTCTTCTTCCTCCTCGTATATTAGTCATGAATGATTCATTCAAAGTCAAGATTCAACACCCTCGACTCTGTGGAGAGGAGGAAAACACCCCTTCTTGAGGGACCACACCCATCTGAACCCGAGGATGGAGACGTATGACAGCTGAGCTTCCTTCTCGAAGCTCTTGTAGCGCAGGCTGCCTGCAAAGATCGTCTATTCAAAAAGCGGCAGCTCAAGATATAGCGTGGGGATAAAAGTTAAAAGCCGCTGTAACTGCTCTGTTCCCATGGTAACCGATATGACTCCTTTAAAAATGTTACATTTCAACAGTAAAACTACTAAACCTGACGAGGCTTTAGTCGGATGCTCTTACCTCGCAATATTACCTATGTCACCAGAAAAAGGACAGAGTGACACCTCTTACTAATTTCCCCAATCTCTGCGTTAACTTATTTGGTCACAGGAAACGCGCGAGGCGAGAATGTCAAACCAGAAGTTGGAAACACCGACAAAAGTAACTGAAGTTTGAGTTGACAACTAATTTACTTTATTTATTTTCACTATATTTGAGGAGTGGGCACGGTGACGTATCGGCTTCTTCGTCACTCTGTTTAACTTGCTGCTTTTAAATGACTTCGCAAACATCTGGAAGGCTGTGCTGCATGTTGTAGGACAGCACACTCTGCTGGTGATGCATTGGATGTGCAGGTCTTTCATTTTGAAATTAAATACCTTTATTTTATTTAGCCTCACATCCACACATACAAATAAAAAATAAAAAAACATTAGACAATAAAAGACACAATTAACAAATCAAAACATCATGTTTGTCAAGATCCTCCACCAACATTTTCAGCCAGATGTGTCCTTCTCCAAGTCATTTAACATCCTCTTAAAGCAACCAACAAGGGCCGTTCGGTAAGTTGTAATTCATTCCAAGTAAAGGGAGCAGCAAACTTAGCAACCCTTTTTAATAATAATAATAATAAATAATAATACATTTTATTTATAAGCACTTTTGAAAAACTCAAGATACTTTACAATAGTTAAAAACAGAAAGAACAGCACAGTAAGGACAGACTAACAGACATTGCAACATTACACACAAATCATAAAGATAACAACAATAAAGGTAAAACTACAGAAAACAGAAAATACATCGCAATCATACATTAAAAGTTTGTTTAAAGCTTGTTTCCCCCAGTTCAGTTCTGACTTTGTAGACACCAGCTCCTTGAGTTTGTAGTCATTCTGCAACAGATTCCAGGCTGAGTTTGCAGAATACCCAAAAGCCTTTTTTCCCTGATTCCTGTGCAAGCGTTTTGGACAGAGAGCATAAACTGTCCGGTGATAAATCTGCATGATAAAAACACATGGATAGTGTGGGAGCAGACCAAGAATTGCCTTATATATAAACGAGTACCTGAGAGAGTACAACTAACAAAGGTGAGTTTTACAGAGACAGCCTTTTGTTGGACGCTTTCATTTGAAATAATAATAAAAAAAAGATGCTTGTGCCCTAATTTAAGGATGATCTTGATGAATAATATATTAGCACAAATGCAACTTAAAGTCGGCCTATGCACAGACTATTTTACATTTTCACTATCTCTATACAGACACTGTTCTACCTTGCTATATAGTCTTAAAACAAGTAGGTAAAAGGAATATAGGTCAAGTTTTTTATTGTAAGGGTTTAATTTTGAATTGAAGAATCTCTGCAGGGTTTCTTTTATTTCTTCGTGCAGATTAATAGAAACATACAAGAGGGGAGACAGCAGGTGTTGTTGCTGCGACTGGATGGGTGACACATAATTTCAAGTTACTTCAAGAAAGTAAAAAAAATGACTCGTGTAAGTTGGCTCATGAAAACAAAGAGCAAGAAAAGCTTTACTTTCTTACAAAAACAATCAAATATGTTAATTATATGAAACATATCATCTTCAGCTCATAGTAAGACACAAGTGGAATTAAAGACAGGCTGTAAATCCAAGACTTTTACTCTTTAATGCTTTGATTTTTCTTTCTCAGACAGTTTCTTCTTGCCACCACTAGAGGGAAGCAAAGAGACACTGGACACCTCTCACTCAGATGAGAAACACTTTCTCAGAAGACGTTTATCTCTTTCCTGTAACGAACCTGACCTGACGTTTTAGTGTGCACAAACATTTTTTTTTCCGATTTTGTCTGCGCAAATTCATCATGTGTTATCTTTATAGACCCTCCGTGCCAAACCAAGCAGGATTTGATTATTTTTCTTTGCAACCCAGAAACCCCTAAAAGGAGGTCAATGGGGTCCCGTGACTGTTCCACCTTGGGGGCTGCTGAAAAGTGTTTCCTATATGGGTCTCTTTTTTTACAGCCCTCATAATGCTTCATTCCTCCGTGTTCTTTATGACTAAAATAACCTTGAGAAGAGGGCATGCCTGGAGAGGTCCTAACATACAGTAAAGTAGCTCAGGAAGCCTTTTATGTTCAAATACCATCAATGAAGAGTGTGAGGGGCCCGTGGGGGCCCGTGGGGGAGTTATGTGTAGTATGTGCAAGTCACTTTGTAGCTGCAGAAGTGAGGGAGCACAGCAGCGTTTACAAGGTCAGCTGTTGTACAGAAGAAGGATCACCAAGAATTTAAAGGCTTTATATTTGATTTCTCACACTTAAATATAGAAATCAAGTATATCCTCTGAAAATAACTCTGTGAGTCATGACTGTCTACAATGGGTGTAACACCCGAGTCCCACTGTCTGTGATGTTTTCAGAGTCCTATCTTCAGTTTGTTTACATCGCCAGGACGGCCGGCTGACTCCTCCCCTCGTGTATAAAAGTTGTTTAATTGAGGGACTAGAGAAAAGAAGAATAACATACTGTACTCACTGCTTAACTGTGTTTCTAGATCACGCTCATTTCAGGTAAATTTACATGCAGTGTGAAGATACCAGCATAATAAAGATCGCTAGCATTAGCATGCTAACACAACAATGCAGCGAGTTGTTTTGGTTTCATGCTGGTGCTCAAGGGCGACATCTGCTGGATCAAAAAATCACATATAAAGCCTTTAACATCTGGATTTTTGTTAATTTTATTGTAATTATTAATGTTTTAGTACTCAAAATCAGTCTTGGTCTCAAGACCGGTCTCAAGATCACTTTTTTGAAGGTCTTGGTCATAAATGTTTCCACAGACATAAGCAGCTAATCGTGTTAGCCTCGTAACTCTCGGGGGCGGGGGACGGGGAGCTTCGGGAGCTACGGGAGCTACGGGAGCTATCTCACGCAAAAATCTAAATGGATGTGTCGGAATCATCGTTGTGAATAGGTAATCAATTTTTGGTTGCTCATGCTATTCTGCCTAGGATGATCAACTGTCAGCCTGATGGACACCTTAATACCTAAATATTTGCATAAAGGGTTAACCCTATCAAGCTGTAACTCTTTAATGGGAGGATTTGTTCCAGTTAACAGAGTAATCAGAGATAGTGGTGAATGATTCAGTAAGTTTAATTCTTTCTTGAAGTGAGGTCTGAGGGTCATACAGAGTTATTTTATGATCATGTTTGGGGTCTGAATTCCTTTTAAGTTGGTTTTCTGACGGATGGCTGCCGCTAATGGTTCGATGAAGAGTGTGAACCGAGCGTGGAGAGTGGGCGTTCTTGCCTAGACCCCCTGTGCAGTGTGATGGGTTGTGATGATTGTCCATTGGTGATAACAGTGGCTGTTGGTGAGGTGTATAGTGTACTGACCCAGTTAATCAATGATTCCCCAAAGCCAAATCTGTGTAGTGTGTTTCTTAGAAAGCACCAGTTTACTCTATCGCAAGCTTGGTCTGCCCCATATAGTGATGGGTTTATGTAAACTGGCTGAATTCCATTATACTTCACCAATTTGCATTAATCTTTGTATCATTAGAAACTAGGTATTATTTTTGAATGGTCGTGCATCCCGCCCTCATTTTCCCCTGAGATGGGAAATCTTTGTGTTTCTAAGTCTGAAAAGGAGCTTCCAGTGACGCAAAATGACGAGTTTTGCGTCACTGGAAGCTGTTGCGGTTAACGGTGTGAAACTACAACGCTAGTTCCTCATATTTTCGACCACTGAAGCGACAGACTCACTCCCAGAATCGAAACTTAACGTCCGCCATATTGCTATGCTAACAGGCTCTATGGAGAAAAAATATAAATATAGCGGTGAGATGGCTGCTGCCGACAGGCCGGTCTTGTGTTTTGGCTGCTGCGGCCGCCGGGTTCTGGCCGCCACGAGCCCAGCCACCGGGAGCAGGCCGTGACACAAGACCGGCCTGTTTCGGCTGCAGCCGTCTCGCGGCTATATTGCATATTGCCGCCGCCGGCCGCTGCCAGCTTAAGTTAATATGAATCACTTTTCAGTTGGAAAACTTTAAATTAGTTGAGCTGACATAAACGTATAACATTGAGCTAACACAACATTTTCATAGACTTGAAATAAAACTTAGAATTGTACGTTATCATGACTTTTTGTTTTTACAGTGTAAAAGCCCCTTCTCAGCATGTGTGTGTTCAAGTTTCTACATCACATTCTTGTATGCTGCATATTGGACCATCATTGGTTTCCAAATGATGATAATAATGTTGTGGTGTTAAAATCCTCCTCACAGGAACACGTGTTCAATTCTGCAGCCCATGGATGTGAAATGGCCTTCTAGTATTACAGTACATTCATCAGTTTTCACAGTGAAGGTCAAACACTTAGCGTAGCAAATATAACCACGCACAGCTGGAAGTGCTTTCTTAAATTGTTGTTTTCAAGGAGACATTATTGCAAAAAATCTGCAGCCTCAATGTAAAAATAGCACCAGTATCTCAGTCTGTAAGGACCTGGGTTAGGAACTGGAGGGTCGTTGGTAGCTGGAGAGGTGCCAGTTCACATCCTGCGCACTGCAGAGGTGCTCTTAAGCAAGGCACTGAACCCCACCCTCCCAAGCTCAGGAGCGCTCGCTGTGGGCAGCCCCTCAGTCTGGCATCTCTCCATTAGTGCATGCCCACAGGATCCTGTTTGTGTGTAGCATGTCTCAATAGAGTGTGACACTAAAGAGTGTACATTTGAATTTCCCTAGGGGGGATCAATAAAGAATAACTTCAAAATAATTCCATGTCCTGTGGTCTTAAAGT